TGATTGATTGATTGATTGATAGGATGATTGATTGATAGGATGATTGATTGATTGATAAGTAGGTTAATTGATTGACAGCTAGATTAATTGATTGGTGATATGATGGATTGATAAATAAATGCTTCAGTGATTATTTGAAAGATTGATTGATTTATAGATTAACTATAATTTGTTGATGCATACTGTTATCATATTTCAACAATTTTACTATTTTTAGGTTGGTGTAGAAACTGTTCTGTTGATAGAAGATCCCAGAGAAGCTCGCGACTTTATGTTTTCACGCCCACCACCAGGTGTTAGAATGGTAAGAATAAAAAGTTTGTTTTATAATTGTCTGTTACATAAAGCCCTGACCAAATGCAAAAAGTGTACACTGAATAAATTGATGACTATTTTCCAGGCATATGCTGGAAATGGTGACCAGTTAATTGGTGGTCGATCAGCAAAGTCTTATGCAGCCATGAGTACAACTGCAAAATATCTGCAACAAGATATTGAACAAGAGATTAGGTATGAAGTACTTTGCAAACCATTTTATTGTAATAATAGTAACTTTTATAAATTTGTGTTGATTTTTTCAAGGCGATTGGAGCATGATCTGCAAAGTAAGCAAGATTACCACCGGCAATTACTGGAACAACAACGTCAATCAGAGACAATTATGAATGATAACCAGGTAAAGAAGTTCATATTATGGCAATGAAGTGTCCTGACTGAATGCTGTATCATGTTTTGTTGTAGAAAGAGTTAAAGAGATCAAGAACCAAAGCTATGCGCGAACAAGAGATAGTCAACCGACTCATCAATGTAATGATTTATAATAAAACTTGCTTTAGTATCTCTTTTATGTGTTGTGATGCTTGTTTGCAAACGTTCCCCACCCCTCCCTACTGCAGGTAATAATTGGTTGTGTGGGGAGGGGTAGAGCGTAAGTTTATTTTTTCTTATTGTATACATATTATATACAGGAAATTACTGAATTAGAAAACTATGAAGAGGAGGAATTACCTGATCTTACAACACTGGTAAGACTCACCTAGCATAGTCAGTGAGAAGAACTTTTTCAAACAGTTTAATCTGGTATGTGTTGTTGTGGTAGGAGGAAGAACGTGCTTCTTACACTGAACAAGTTCAAGAACTAGAAAATCAGGTATAGTTATAATAATACAGTCAACTCTCTCATAAGCGACCTCCTCGGGATCAAGAAAAAAGTGGTAACTTACAAGAGATAGTCGCTTACAAGAGATGGTCGCTTACAAGAGATGGTCGCTTACAAGAGATGGTCGCTTACAAGAGATAGTTGCTTACAAGAGATGGTCGCTTACAAGAGATGGTCGCTTACGAGAGTGGTTGGTCAAAGAGAGTCAACTGTATTATTATTATGATCATCAATATAATATGAAATTGTTAAAGAACCATGGGCTATGCATGTACAATCACAGTTACATACTTAAGAAATGCACTATTTAAAATGATTTTCATGAATAGGTTGCTAATGCTGAATCAGAATTTGAGAAAGCTCAGGAAGCTTATCAAAAACAAGAAATCAAGTACAAAAATCATAGAGATAAGATTCAAGAGGTTATGGGTAAACATGACCCATTGAAGGTATGATTGATTGATTGACTGATTGATTGATAGATCCATTGATTGATTGATTGATGTACTGATTGATTGATTGACTGATAGATCCATTGATTGATTGATTGACTGATTGATTGATTGACTGATTGATCCATTGATTGATTGACTGATAGATCCATTGATTGATTGATTGATAGGTTCATTGATTGATTGATTGATGTACTGATTGATTGACTGACTGATAGATCCATTGATTGATTGATAGGTCCATTGATTGATTGATAGGTCCATTGATTGATTGATAGGTCCATTGATTGACTGATAGATCCATTGATTGATTGATTGATGTACTGATTGACTGTTATTAGGAAAAACAAGATGAAGTCATGAGAAGTATTGCTACTGAGAAAAACAACAAAAAACATTATGAAAGGAAATGTAAAGAGGTTGATGATGCTGTCAAGAAGGCTGAAACAGAGTTGGGTAGCATGCAAAAGATAGTTCAGGTAATTCTGACTGTTCATTCATATCATTAGTTTGCATTTCCCACCCTCCTTCCATTCTTTCCATCCCTTCCTTCCCCTGGTTATCATTTTGTTAATTGTTTTCCTTTATGTTTTCTGTTTGCTGATTTATTTTGTCTGTGTATTCGTTGTCTTTTCAAATATAATTTTTGATCAGAAGTATTTGATTCCTCATTCTTTCTCACAATAATGTAAAATACAGGACACTACAGACTTAGCTAATCAGTACTGTGAACGTGTAGACACAAGGAGATCAGTACGTAGTTTAGAGACAGAGATCATCCAGAAAGAAAGAAGAATACAGACTGAAGAAAACAAGTAAGTGCTTTCACAACTAGGCTGAAAAACCCATTTCATTGGAATGTAAAGAAAGTCATACGACTGTACAACTGTAGTATACTCTGCAGGACTTTATGTATACTCTGCACGACTCTGTACGTAGACTCCGTAGGACTGTACGTATACTCTGTACGACTGTATGTATACTCTGTACGACTGTATGTATACTCTGTACGACTGTACGTATACTCTGTACGACTGTACGTATACTCTGCACGACTGTACGTATACTCTGTAGGGCTGTACGTATACTCTGTACGACTGTACGTATACTCTGTACGACTGTACGTATACTCTGCAGGACTTTATGTATACTCTGTACGACTCTGTACGTAGACTCCGTAGGACTGTACACATACTCTGCATCATACTTTTTAAAACCTTATTTTTGCAGTTATTTTTCAAATATTTTTAAGTCATTTTGATCTTAAAATCATGTACTGTAAGTCAAAATTAAATAATGCCTACTGTTTGACAGCCATGGTAAGCATGAGGAAATCACCAGGAAATATTATGAAGCCAAAATGAAGTTTGAAGAAACAAAGTCTTGCATGAAAAACTTGTTGAAATATAAAAAGGTGAGTTTATGATTCTTCAGTAAAGAAAAATTATTCCATACAACTGAACAAAGCTAATGGATAAACACCGTTAATTACAGCGACTGGAAGATGTGTTAAAGAAGAGATCAGCAGCGTATATTGACTATCGGAAGTTCATTGCAATAAGAGCCAAGTTCTTCTTCCAAATGATGTTGTCCCAAAGAGGATACACTGGAAAAATGAAATTTGATCATGGAAACGAACGACTGGAAATTGAAGTGATTATCTTTTATATACTATTTCTGGAGTGTACTTTAGACTCCTTTCACCCTTATTTTTCCCTTCAACATTCCTTTACTCCTATTTTCTTTTCATTTCCTCTTCATCTCATTCAGATTCCCAAATCTTTCTTCTTTCTGTCACTTCTCCTATACCTTACTTTCTTTTCACTTCCCTTTTTTTCCTTTTTTCCATCTTCCCATTTTCTGTTCTTCATTCCCTTCCATTCATCATTCCTCCCATTCTCCCTTTCTTATCTGTATCACTATTTCAGGTGAATGTAGAATTAGCCCTTAAGAAAGCTAATAAAGACACCAAGTCACTGTCTGGTGGTGAGAGGTCGTTCTCTACAATCTGTTTCATTATGTCGTTGTGGGAGGCAATGGAGACTCCTTTTAGATGTCTGGATGAGTTTGATGTCTTCATGGTGAGATGAGATTCATTCCTACTGAACTTGACTGAATAACTGACTGAATGGCTGGCTGATTGATTGATTGAATGACTGAATGAATGGCTGATGGATTGATTGATTCGTTGGTTGGTTGGTTGGTTGATTGACTGACTGATTGACTGACTGATTGATTAATTTGATTGATTAAATGTATAAATCAATGAATGGCTGGCTGATTGATTGGATGATTGATGGAATGATCTATTGGTTGATTGATAGATTTAACGATGAAGGAATAAATGTTTGATTGATTGGGTGATTGATTAATTGATTCATTCATTTTTTGATTGATTGATGCTTCAGTGACCTGATTGGTTTATTGATTTATGTATTCATTAATTGTTTCCTTGCTTATCAGGACATGGTGAATCGTCGTATCAGTATGACTATGATGCTAAAGGTTGCTAAAGAACAGTCAGAAAGACAATTCATTCTCTTGACTCCTCAGGACATGACGTATGTTTTCTTATCATCATCAATAATTTTTATCGTCACCATCATCATCATCATTCATTCAAAATGCTCGTTTTTGATTATGTTAAATCACCTAAAACTCTATAAATTTCTATACTATTTATCTATTCTATACTAAAACCCAACTCTTCTATCATTTCAGCAACATTGGAGGCGGATCTAGTGTCCGATATTTTAAATTACGAGATCCAGAAAGAGGGCAGTTGGCACTAAACTTTGGACAGGCTGAACAAGACACACAATAATAAAATTGGTTGTTAATTGACTTGCAGTTGAATGCGTAGTTACGCTACTTTCTGGTCAACATACATGTACATAATTATATGTCTTGGTGTGGTTACGGTATTTTTTGGTGTCTGACTATAACTCTAAGAGGTGTAAAACTATTAATAAGAGATATCCATATTGTTACAGTTTATATTTACATGAATTCGATTTGAATAATAAATAGAGTAATTAGAACAATCAACTTTATATGAATTAAATATGATAATAAAAAGAAAGCAGAGATTTTTGGCTTTGATTTATAGTAAGTTCAGTTTCAATAATTTGGCTAGTTACAATTTCCAGTGAAAAGGGCAACATCGTAGTAGTATGAGATACGATTTCAGGGGCGTATCCAGGGGGGTTACATGGTGTCTTTAGCCTCCCCCCCCCCCCCCCCCCCCCCCCCCCCCAAATGAAAATCCTGGATACGCCTAAGGATTTATGTTCAATGTTGTACAAATCATTTTAATTGATGTTACCAGAATGGGGCATGAGAAAAAGGTACTTATGTAATATTGCCACCCCTCCCCTCTAAATCTCTTAATCTAATAGCCCATGAGGCCGAGTCCGCGAGGCCGAATGGGCTATGAGCTTGTAGTCCACGAGGCCGAGAGGTCTAATTGTTTTAGTATAAACATACTAATCGGTCAAATAATGAAAACAAATTGAAAAATCCTTAAAATATTTTACAATTTATTTATTTTGATTTTCCCGCGAGTGGTCTATCACAAATTAGTAGAGTAGCCAATCACAGCACAGTATGAGTGATAGACCATTAGTATGTTTGCACTAATTCGAATATATTCTGTATAATACATTAAATAGTGAATTCCTCGCTTTTCATTATGATGTAAGAAATATAATCAGTTTCTGCTTAAGTCAAATAAAAGTTATGAGCCATTTCACTCGATTCTTAGAAAGATCAAATGATTACATAATTAGATAAAAATATTCATCGTGCTCCCTGGCGGGGAATTTCCCTATTGATCCTTGTATGCCATTCATTAAATTACCAAGTCGGTAAGCGTCGTGTCAAAACTTTAATGTTAAATCTACGGATAACTGCTTTTTCGAAGTTCTAAACAATTTTTAAAACAATCTTCTCGTCTGCAAGAAGGGACTCGGAACACCCGCTTGAGTTTGCCATGGCTCGGTAGACGATGAATCACGAGACGTCACGATAGGTTCGACAGTTATTTGCTTGAGATTAGCATCTACTACAGTACGTAATACAAGGTAAGGGAATTTGATGTATATTAATGCACATTTGTATAACATAATTGTTTGTAGTGTTGTGTTTTGAACAGTTAAAAACCATCACCCGGAAGAATAAATATCGATCATATGTCAAATGCAATCATTGTGTTTGATCAAATATTATATCAATGGACTTGAATCGGTTAAAGCTTATCGCATATGAAGTATCTGAGTCAATTTAGTAATTCTATCAACATTTTTAAAAAGAATTTTGAAAGTTAACCGCGCATAAGTTTACGTTTTGCATTGCGTGACTGTGACTCTTCGTTTCGCGTGACCTCTCATAGTCAACTATTGTTTCACGGGTTAATTGACTCAACTCTAATTAAATAGTGCTAAACTTTTTAGCACTAATTGTTTAGCACTTTTTCACGCTTTTAGTGTTTTCACTCTACTCTGAATCGATTGTTTCTAATACCAGCTAAATAGTCGTTTTAATTTTTGCACTAATTCGTGTACAGGATTTTTTCCAGGATTTTACACATCATGGATTTATTTAAGCCTTTTTTTCAGTTAGCTATATCATGGGATGTATCAAAGTATTCATAATCTATGCCATATATATGATGGCATTGGGTGAGGCTAAAGATGCCTTACAACTGACTCCGAAAGCAACTTCATGTTCTTGTTACTTTGATGGTAGTTACTATAACCTGAGGTCGCTGGGAATTGAAGACAGAACACAGCCAGCGTAAGTCTGTTCATATTTATCAGTGTTAGCACTTGTTAAGGGGGGTTGACTTTTGGTCGGCTTGGGATCTGTACATTATTTTGGCAGTAATTATGATTATATATTGTTGATTGATGATCATGATGAATTGAGGTGGTAACGATGACATCAAAGCTGGCTTGTATGAGATGTGATGTTGTTTCTGGTGATAATAAAGATGGCACCATCAAGAGTGCTGTTCAAAGTGGTTGGATTCACATCTCTCTCAAGACGAACAGCTCTGATTCAGCTATTTTTTATAGGATGGTAGCTAGAAAAAACGACTATGAGTATGGATACAACCCTTGTTTTCCATTCACACTGGGAGGGAAATGTACAAACGTTGTGGTATGTAAGCTGGTTTTAAACTGCATGATTTACTATATGCATTCTCTTAGGAGACCACAATAGCATCAGCAGTTCTTGCTGGTCGATATGTTCCTCAATCAGTCTAACTTTTATTATAGACCCCTGAAACGTTTACGTCATGTTTGTACTGTATACGCAACACTTGTAAACGTCTTTAGGACAAAACATGGCAGATTTCGTTTCATTTTCTCCTGAGAAAATGATTCCACAATGCATTGCAAATCAAGTAGGTGATGTAAGAGCTTCAAACTTGAAGTCTATTGTCAGTCACAAGTCTTGATTGTAAATACATTGTAAACATGTTTTAATTGCATTTTTTATCTCAAACAGATCTGCAAATGGACAGAGAGTGATGTCAACTTTCACTTAGCACTTGGTCGTGGAGACAACGTAACTTGTCTTCCTCCATCGGAAAAAGACTCCGATAAAAACATTAAAGTTTATTTGGTTTTCCATCAACCAGGGTATGTAGATGAAAATATATATTATACTTAATAATTTGGTGAAATCGAGAACAAATCTCATAACGTGAAATTCACTTTGATATTTTTCTGGTTTGTGAAGAAATGACCAAAAGGGCTGGACTACAACTATAAGACTGAAATGCAATAAAACACTGGAAAAGCCGAATTTTACAATCCTTGATTGGAGTGCAGTACCGGTAAGAAATGAAAGAGTGACAATGAGTTGAGAAAAACTTACTATTCACAGGGACGACGGAAAAGGAATGAAGTACTTCCACCCCTTCCCCGCCCACAAACACACACACAGTTTTAATGAAAATGATATTGCTATTTTGTCTGGGCTAGAAAATCAAAAAAATTGTCTCACCTTCCCTCCCACCGGTACCGCCACTTTTAAAACCGATCCGTTGTTCCTGAACTTAGTCCCTTTCGGAGTCGTTTGGAATACGTCGTATATTAATTCTAGTTTTCTTTGCTTTCTCCTAAGGTGCTCCAAGTAGAACACAAGTGCTGTTGTCCTGACATGTGTCCAGACTTGATCTCCCCTTCTCCAATAGGTACAAAATAAATAGCGCAAGTATACGATGTTGGAGTTTAAAAGTGCGAGATCTTTCCTCGAATTCGACACCTTTCTAACAGCCAGCCCTTGATTTATTATAAAACTCAAGATTTTCAAAAGTTCACGAATGTTTAAATAGAATAGAAAACGCTATTCAACTTGAACACACAGTCCCGTAGACTGCCTTACAGATGTCCCGGGGGGGGGGGGGGGGGGTACTCCCCCGAAACTTGGGTGGGGGTGTGCCGCCGGGACCTCAAAACCCTGACCCTGTTCCAGAGTAAAATCGCTGAAAACTATACCCTTTCACGGTGTCATTGTGTTGCTGCGTTGCTGGATGTGGGGTTGTTTTTTTCATAATGCAGACCTAAATTAAATGTTTAACTAAATTAGTTCAATGTATTGTGTGTAAGAACTGGCTGCTAGTATAAGCAGTTCATAACAAACAACTATCTAAAAAAAAAGTTCATAACAAAAGAATTTTAAAATAGAACAATAAAAAAGAGAAACGTCGGACCTTTCAAGCCTACGGGCCTGACACACAACAAAAGCTTTTTCTTCCAAGGGGTATGGTATTACAATAAACACTTACAACTAATGGATGGCTCATTTCAAGCGCAAACAGAACGACATACAAAAATACCATTAACTCCTGATTGCGCTCCAGCATTTCAATGTTTTTTGTTTATTTTGTTTTTGTATTTTTTGTATTTCTTTATTATGCGTTTTTCTATCCTGCCTAGGTCCTAAGAAAAAGATAGAGGCTGAAGTGATAGGAGGAGCCACTGGCGGTGTGCTATTTCTGCTAGTTCTGTTCGGTTTAATTATATTTGCATGGCGCAAGAAACGCCGCAATAGAAATATTCGCGGTGATCGGAATAATGGATACCAAACTTTTGTAACGCGGCCTAACCCTGGTCAGGATGATGATGATGATGATGATGATGAGCAACCTGCTGCAGAACACGAAGATGAACCGGAAAGGCCTGCTTCAGTACCAGTTCAAGTAGAGTCAGGACGAGAAGACCAACAAAGTCCTTGCAGACCAATATCTGCATCTCCTTCTCCAGTGGAGCACCCTTAGTAAACCAAAACGTATCGTTTATAGAATGGTTAAGATATCCATGCATAATAGAGACTACAGTACATTGATCTATTACGAACGTGAATGCGTGCAAGGACAAATCAACCTGATTTGATCTCAATCAAATGCGACAAAAACTCAATTCGTCCTGATGTCGAGTTCCGTATATATAATTTATAGAAAGATATGTAGAAAAAGTTTAAACCCGGATTCAAATGAGTCCTCAAATTGTATATTTTCTTAAATAAAGTTATATTTTACTAGAAAGGTCTTGTTGCTGTGTTTGTTCCACACTAAATACATTCACAATACAGTCTGAGCTCACAGTACCAAACTCAGAGAAGTCATGACTCCAAGCAAGTCCTTCAATAGACCCACAATGCATCTTACGACATGTTACAAGTTCTCCTGTGATGCAATCCCACAATGCAAGATGACCATTCTGTGTTGAGCAGAGACACTGCTGGCTAATAGGATTCAAGCTTAGGTAAGTTAGTGTGAACCAGCCCAGTAAGTGGTCTAGTTTGACTATATGAATTGCATTAAAAACAGCACCATCGTAAATACGCACTGTACGGTCATCAGCACATGTTGCCAGTACATTGCTACCATTTTCCAGGATTTTCCAGTCAACTGACGTTACAGCTGTGGTGTGACCATGAAGAGTGTGGAGTTTCTCACCTTGTTAATATCAAGAAAAGTTATTAGTAAACTGCTGGAGATTCAAAGTAAAAGGCACTCGGTCACACTAATGTGTGTATACTTACCATTTGTTTGATTCCAAATACAAGTTGTTTGATCTTCCGATGCTGTGGCTATCATTTTACCACAGGGACTCCAACAAACACTCCACAATTCTGCTGCCACGGGCTGACCATCCCTGAAAAGATGATGAGCTTTGAAGTTGAGTTCCTCAACTGGATTTGTGAAATCTTTGTCTTGGAATCTGTAAACAACTAAACAACCGTTCTCAAGACCTGCGGCAAGTTGATTAGTTGACCAGCGTAGGGATAATACTCCTCCAGTACATGCTAGGCATATATCAGCAATATCTGAGAAACTTGGAGCCCATTTGAGTATATTGCCATCCAGTGCACCTATAAAAAGTATGTCTTCCTTCCATGTCAAGCAACGTATTGATGCATTATGTTTAAGTCTGTATAATGGGTCAGTGCGTCCCTTTTCCCATACAAAGACTTTACCAGTAAAGTCACCAGATGCTGCAAGATGGTTTGCACTAAGATCAAAACCACATCCTGTAACCTCATGGTATTTTAGTAAATGCTTCTCTGTGACTTTTATTGGGAAACAGCACTCATCATCTTGATACTCAAACTCCACGTAACTCAGCGACATTATACCTGCTACCCAGATTGCCTTATGGGAAGTATTGGGAACCCAATTAAGATGCATTATAGAATCCTTTGGTGCTCCACCCACTTCGTACATTAGTTCACCTTGCGGCGTCCACCAAGACAATATGCCTGACAGGTACGACATGGCAAGAATATGATGGCCATCCCATAATGCAACTTGAGGTGACCCTGTGCCTTGAAATACTGAAATCATTTGGAAGTCACTTTCATTCAATACAATGAAAATTCCACCTTGAAATCCAACAGCAAATACCCCATTACTGCATGGTGTTGTACACATTATTGATGATTTAGTGTTCCCTAGAGGTGCCAATAATTCTGTACGAATCACTTCACCATTGTCGCCGAGAAGGTGAACTTCACTAGCATTGCCATGGTACCTCTCATATACTCCAATAACGTTGCCTTGTGAGTTGAACTGTGCTATGACGTAACCATCTGTCTGATTGATATAAGTGACACTGTCATTTTGTGAACTGTCACTAGTGTGTCCTGTCTGTGCATTCTGATATTCTTCTTGAGCATGTCCTTTGTGACTCCACACCAAACTAAAACTAACTTTACCATCAGTGTCTTTGTTCAACTTGTATAAAAAAACTATCGACTCATCTTGAGAACCTCCACAAATCACAAATCTTTCTCCATCATCAGACCACCAGCCATAATGAGCATTTTTATAACTAGCGTTTTCGGAATACAAGAGATTTAGTTGTTTGTCCCATAGTTTAATCTCTGCACTATAAGACACTGAAAGTATGACTCCATGGGATTCATTGTAAAGAAGGCAGATTATCAAATCACTATGTGCTTGGAAACAACAAATTCTTTGTCGCTTTGCAACGTCCCAGTTGACTATCTGAGAACCTATGGGAAGACAGTACGTAGGGTTTTCATCATCTAGTATGAAGTTGCCAGGAAAACCTGCACACAAACGTACAGAACCCACTCCCCAAGACTGTTTGACAGAGAAGCCGGTATCAGAAGCCATCTTGGATAAAAGTGCCTTGTCATTATTCATCGGAAACTTTCGGGAAACTTTCTAACGAATGATTATCGATTTGTCACCATCAAATATTTTGTTAGCGCGCTTATAATGATTTATTTTCATTATAAGCGCTAAATATCTATGTATAAGCTATACTAAATATCTAATGACGAAAAAAAAGATTTGTGCGAATAAAAAAGTAATAATACATTGCAAGAAATCAATGAAAAATTTCCTCAAAATTTACCAAACAAAACATAGCGCTTGCAATGCATTATCATATCTTTAGTTTTTGTCCAATCATAAGCCCCATATGTCGTAGTCATAGAAACTTGCGTCCAAACTCTCCCGCCATTTTGAAATATTTTGAAACGGAAGCGAGAGAAACGATAGCTAGGCGTTAATATGGTAAAATTACATATAAAACGTGGCGATGAAAGCCAATTCCTGTACGAAACAACGTGTAGTATAGAAATAAATGAATTAATTCCAGAACTTGTTCGTATCTACAATGGTAGACTCAAAATAGAAAGGCTGAATTATGGTGAGTTCTTATAGCATATTAAGAAGTAAGCTTAAGTTTTATTTTAATTATAAGTTTCAGTGACAAGTTTTTTACGTTTAGATTAAACAACAGTCGTTCTCATTTTCCTTTGATATAATGTATACTTTGATTAAAATAGTTTTAAAAATAATATTGTTTTAGTTAATTCTCCTTAGTGGTTTCATTTCAATTCAGAATAGAATAGAATAGAAGCTTTATTTATGTACATGGTAGCAAAAAAAAAATGCTAAATTGCGTACAATACTAACTAAAAAATATGTGATAATAATAATAATAATGACAATAATAAAACTATAATATACATTAACTAGTTGATTAAAAGACTACTAATATATACAATGTAAGAATTAGACTAATTAGAATAAAAGGACTATATAAAACCTATAAAAGGACCTATACAATGTACTATATACACTAGTTACTTCACATTTTATTATTGTTAAAGGAATTGCTATGAAAGGTGACGAAACAATTCTTTGCTCTGTTGGTATTGAACTTAGTGTTGAATGTCCTTGTTCTCCTGAGTTCGTACTTTGCTTCGTGGCGTGGAGGCACTAAATGATGAAGTTTGTGATACTGGTCATTAACTATTTTATCAAACAATGAGCTGCCAATAGAACTGTGATGGTCGAAAAGAGGGAGCGTGTAACTTACATGTTTGAGTTAAGTTGTATATCAACGTAAGCTTTGTATCATTTTATTCATTCAGAAATAGAAGAGTTAGCCAAACATGGTATCTCATTGCCTCCCAACATGCAAGGTCTTACAGAGGAACAGATATCAGACTTACGACTTAGGGACGACTGGGAAGATAAATGCTCACCTAGTGGAGGCTATGTGGAAACTAAAGACCCCTTGACTAAGAGAAATGGAAGAGGTAGGGTCTACAGTGATATAATGGTCGTTTTACTATATGACATCATGCGATGTTTGGTGAAATGCACCATGAGATTCATAAAAGTACAACGTAAGTTATGTGTCAGGTGGTTTTGCGAACAACAAGCAGTACATATTGCTACTAGTTTTTGAGTAAACTGTAGCATATGTAGTCATCTAAGAAATGCATTAATTCAAAGAAAACTTCATTCATGATCCCGATGCTTTAACCAATATTATCATGAGTGGAAAGACAATTTTACAATCATTTTGTTACTTAAAATTATTACTGAACATCTCCTTATCCTTTCAGCTCCTAACGAGAAAATGTCTGAAGTATTAAATCGCACAAGGCAAGAATCAATGGCAATAGTTTCAAAGGTAAAATCACACACAATTTATATTAAAACAATCCATTATTGTATATTTTATATGAAATGCATTTTGGAAAAGCGACCAAGCAATAATCACATCTTAAATACTTGATATACTGTGCTAGTGTAGATTTTACATGGCTGTACAGTGGCTCAGAAAATAGCTGACTTGGTCACAGACCTTATCTGGTATTTTTGCTGTATAGAAAACATTGATTCAAGAAATAATCATAGTTATAATTCAGTCCACTCATAGCTTAAAAGCCATACAGAAACCTTTTTAGATTTGATATGACAGGAAAATATTTGTTCAAGGACAGCAAGTATAGCATCACGTCCCTCTCCATTAGCTATTGTATGTGTATTAATTATTACATTATTTTAGGATAATGTGAAAGCAGATGTTTGTCTTACAATGGATAAAGTCCAGGCTGCGATAGATCAAATGAGAGGTGCTGTAATGATAGTATACCCCATGGGATTACCACCTCACGACCCAATCAGACTGGAGTTTGATCTTCAGGAAGATTTGTCTGGAACACAGGTCATTATCCATGTTATAGATCCGATACAGTAGAATAATGATAATGATGATAATGTTAATATTTTAGGCGTCACTTCAAGTGTTAGAAGAAGATACAGCACAGCTTTGGTGGGCTGGCAAAGAAATGCAGCGTGGAAAGAAGTTACAAGATTTTATTGGGAAAAATGAGAAAACTAAATTAATAGCTAAACTGCAAAAGGTATTTTTTTCACTGCTTCATCATTTTCTTTCATTGTATGACCATTGATATATTCATTTTTCAATTCATTCATTTTTTCATTCATTCACTCATGCACTTCTCATTCGTTCACCAATGTACAGAAAGGACAAGGTGCTCCATCAAGAGAGCAAGCTTTCAATGAAGATCAGAAGAAGCAAATGATGGCACATGCTTACCGCAAGCAAGAGGAATTAAAGGTAAATTAAATTAAAAACTTTCTGAACACAAGATAAATCTACTTGACACACAGTATTCAATTCCAGAAATTAGAAAGTAGTGAAGATGATCATTATCTCAACTCATCGTGGGCTGATCCTAACTCATTAAAGAGACAATTCCAAGGGGTACGTGATATAAAGTGGAGACCATAACATTATCCTTAAAACTAAATGTAAACATACAAACCTCTAGATGAATATCTGATAACCCTTAACAACACAACAATCAACAAAGTAGATATCAGATCAATCACTAAACAAGATGAGTCCTGTATCGATTTCTTATCATTCTTCATCTTGTTCTTACAAAAGTAGAACATGATTTGATATATTGCTAACCAATGCTATTAGTCATTAAGGATGTAATCTTTGAATTTTTTAACACTTGCTGTATAAAAAATAGTAATTTAGGTATGTAGGCTTGCTTTTTGTGTAAATAAAACAATACTTATTGCACTTAAAATAGGAGAGTAGAGGAAAATATATTAATATCTAGTAAACAGCCAGTTTTGGTTCAGGAAACCTTGGAGTTTTTTTACAAATACATTAATGACAAATCTGTTGAATGTTTTTTTTTTATTTTCTACAAAAGATAAGAGCATATTGTAATGACTATTATTACAATATATATACATGTTAAACTCCCTTAGTTTTAACAGTTCAACTGTTAATTAATGGGCTATATTATATGTTGCTACCCATAACCTAAGACACTGCATACTACATGTATTCAATCATATAAGAAGATTTTCCAAAACCCCTGTATATCTTGATCATAAACATTGATTGATGAGAACAATTGTGCTAATTACTAAGCGTGGTAACTAGCCTTGAGATTTCATGTGTAGATGTATACATTCAGATGACTTGACCTGGCTAAATTGTAGTATAGTTAATATATTAAAAGATCTGTAGTGGTCAATTCATGAATGACTGCATGAATGAAGAGAAAAAATCTTATCATTGTGCAATAATTAATTTGTAAAATATTCAATAATACTGTAAGTCAATTTATACTTGTAACCAGTTCCTGCTGATAAATTATAAAACTACATAAAACAATAAAACATCTTATATAAATGTAGAATAATAAAAATCTAAGTTTGATATTAGCTGGTTAAGACATTACTGTAATATTTAAGAGGTTGAAAATTGCAATGAACCAGGATATTGTTTGTTGTCCCTGCATTAAAATCATGCATCCATTGTAATATGAAAGATACTGCTGTCTATATCTAGATAACCTCTTTTGACAGGGTGAGTCTTTGTAGGATGCAAAGCTTGTTTTCATTAAAGGTTTTTGTATAAGCCATGCATATTAGTAATAAAATCTGTCATGCCCATGCAATAATATCAATTAACAGTTTTATCATGCATAACATTAAGTTCTGCTCCATCTAAAATATCCAGTTTGCAAACCAGTTTTTAAACCTGTATGAATACTGGTTGGTTACTACTTTGCACATCAATGTCCTGTCATTTAAACCCATTTACAGTGTAGAAGCCTGTTTTAATACCAGTTTGTTGCTATTTTGCACATCAATATACAATGTCCCTGTTTATGTAAACCAGTTGAAAAACCTGTTTGAGACTTGCTTATCAATCTTGTTTGTAAACCAGTTTAGAAACCTGTTTGAGACTTGTTTATCAATCTTGTTTGTAAACCAGTTTGTAGGCTTGCTATTGTGATTCCATTTAGTTCTATTTATGCTACGGTTTTCTTGCTACACAACACAACAATGTCAAAATATCACACATTATTTTATCTGTGTCCCAATTTTACAGTGTTTTGATTGGTGGATACATGTCCTGTGGTGTACATATTCTATTCTATTATCGAAACCATGAGATTCTCAATATTCATGGAAGTAATTCTCCTATACTCCAACATCTTGACTCGTTCTTGACGGGAGCTCTCGTCTGATGTAATACCAGCAATATTCGACGTCAGACATGATGTCGTTATACTTAATCTCGCCATCTTGTCCCTCATCTATATCCTTCTGAGACACTTGGCATGACGTCATATAATGACGTAATATCTCTGCTTTCTGACGTCATATATTGTCATGATGACGTAGCCAAGCGTTGAGGTCCCATTGGACTGACACTAGTGTTGTATATTCACTATCTAGATAACACATACACCATTGGCTGGTCTAACAGTTTCATAGGGCATTTCCCTTTTATCACTGTCGCTATTGGGAAGAGAGTTAACTGATGGTGTCTCGCATGTTAAGGACTGTTTACCATCATCGTGTACCAAATTACGACTATTGTAGTACCGAACAATCTCCGACATGTACCCGAGGTCCTCACTATCATCATTTTCCACATCTTTGCTATCGATGATGATGATATCGCCTGGTTTGACGCTGATTTGCTTTGTATCCTCATTTCCATCTTGTATTTCAATAGTTACATTCTTATTCTCATCATCACTGTCATCATCATCATCATCATCATCGCCATCATGTACACCATCGTCTTCATCGTCATCGATGTCAGGATCCAGCGGTTTGTCTGTTTGTATTTCAAACTTTTTGCTTCTTCTACCTCTGATGTGTAACCCTAGCAACAGGACCAGTAGCAAGACTGTTGCTATAGCAACTCCAGATAGGAACAGTATTAATACATACTTGGGTTGTCCTAGAGATGAAGGAAGCGTTTAGTAACCATAGTAACTCATCACTTTTAACAGACCTTCTCTTTTAAGAAGTATTAACTTCTTTTTGAGTCGCATTCTTGTCCTATCGCATCGTTTGCTGTCGTATTGCACGATATTGTATCGAGATTGCAGTCGTCATCGACATTTTATCGTATGTCGAACTGAATCGTATCGTCTGTCGTATCATATGCGTCGTATAAACATTCTAGTCATGACACTTTAAATAGAAACATGGAAATATCGTAATAATGATTCCCATCCAAAAACAGTTGATCATAAACTGATTAATAATAGTTTTGCTGTGACATTTATCAGTGATAATCAACCATTCCTGGATGTTGCAAACTAGCGTTAAACTAGTGTGATCTGCGTYGGTGTTTCTAAAGAAACAGTTGTGTAAAAATATAAATTTAAAACTGTAAAATAGTAGGTGAAACAACTTACTGACGTTTCGGACGTTAATCCTTCATCGGAGGATTAACGACCGAAACATCAGTAACTTTTTTACGTTGCTTTATTATCTTTTTGCACAACCATTCCTAGATGTTACAGCTATTTCAAGAAAGGTTGTCGGAGAGCGACGGTGATTGCACAAGCCAAAGTCACTATGGGTATTTATCATTCCAAAAAAAGTCCCAGCAAACCTTAATAGGACATCTTCCTCCAATTTAAACAACAGTACTGACTGCCTTTGCCATCAATAAATACTACCTCACAGTTACTTTGGGTCGTCCAAACGGCGTTCTTGTATGACAACCTTTCTTGAAATAGTTGTACAGCTGTTATACTAAATGTGTCAATGTATAGAGGTTGAGAGTATGAGAAGTTTGTGTAGTTTCTGCGACTACTGTAGAGATTTGTTTATTTTTATTTTCATTATAAGGTTATCAAGTATATTTTTTATCCTATTTTAGGAATATACTATCTGTAGTAGTATATCTCCATCAGTTTTAGCCCGGTTATGACGTCACTAATTTAGGTCTGTCCGTTATGGCCTGGTTCAGAGACCATGCGTTTCTCAACATGTATGTTTCATTAAGATCAACCTTATTGTTTAAAATGTTTTTGTGTTTTGTTAAATATACGATTCTTTCACGTCTTGGAATTTGTAAGTTTTTAACAGTTGAAACAAAGTACTCTCATAATTTGTAGGTAAAATGTTCAATTATCCTCTGGTTATCCAAGGTTTTTTAATTGTTGCTTTTGTAATTTCCCTGGAGTTTTCTTATTATCGTTCCTATTTTACGCATCAACATTCTATAGATTCACTTTCATAATTTTTTGTTATTTTTTATGTTTTTTTTTGGACAATTGTTATTTTACTAGAAATTTTGAACTCAACTTGTTGACATCTTGAAACTATGTATCTATGGTCATTAGTTTAGATATGCAGTCTTCGCTTTGATCTAAACTTATTTATATATGTTTTAAGAACATGTCTACAGTCGCAGAACGAAAAGAAGTGAAATAAAATGTGAAATGTAGAAAAGTGAGAATAAAATACAACTGATGTAAAGATATTAAACTTAAGAAAAAAAGACATATCACTTGTTCATTCAGTTTTATTCTCAATCACTTAAAATATCATGAAAAAGAAATAAATATGAACTAAGTGATACAGTGCTACAAACAAATCTCTACAGTATTACGTCATCCAAACACCACGATCACAACCAATCAAATACCACCATGAATGTCACGTGAGACAACTAATCAAGAAGTGATCAAGTGTGTTCACGAGGAATATTAGTTAGACCAATCAAAGAACGTTTATATCACGTGCTGTTGTGAAAGTACAGTGCCTTGACGAATCAGATGGCTCCGTGAATATCACGTGGTGTAGTGATTTGACCAATCAAATAGCTTTTATATCAAGTGGTGCTGTGCAATCAAATGGCCGCGCCACTTGATACAGTGATTCGACCAATCAAATTCCCGTTTCATATGGTATAATGATTCGACCAATCAAATCCGCGTGCATATCACGTGGTGCAGTGATTCGACCAATCAAAATCCCGGTGCATATCATGTGGTAGAGTGACCAATCATAGATCGTGGTGCCTAGTGAGCGAGTGTCGCATACCTGATAGAATGATGTATGTAAGGGAGAACGATACCACGACGTTCATGAATGCCTCCTCACCTCGATTCGTATAACCTGATGCTGCAGGTGGTTTAAGTGTTGTCGTTGTCTCAATCACAGTCGTAGTCACAACAGGATTGTACGTCTTAACAGCAGCCATTACTAATGGTGTTGTACTTATATTACTAGTCGTGTTGTCGGTGATGTTAGGTGCGTAGGTAGTGTTTATTATAGTACTGTTAGTTGTTGTTAGTTGTGGTGTTGTTTGTGTTGTTGTCGAGGATGGTGTTGGTGATGTCTTCTTTCGTCGTTTTCTTGTCGAAGGTGGTCGCGTGGACATGTTTGGAGGTCGTTTCTCTGAAAATAAATAGAAAGTGTTTATAAAAGGAGTGATGGTACCTAGTAAAACTAAATGATGATGATTCGCAAAGTGCTGAGTAGACAACAGCGCAGTAGTCTGAAACACCTTGAGAAAGGATGATTATGATGAACATATATGATGGTGATGATGTTTTGAGTTGACCAATCACCGTTAGGTCTAAATGGCTAAGATTGATCCCTCTTGAGGTTAATGATGATGATCTCAACAACAAAAATAATCCAAATAGATGGTATATTAGTGATTAATAATAAATAAATATTAGTCATATTACTTACTGCAATAATATATGATGGTCATGTACTTAAATGTCCCAGGACAAGGATCAGGAAACATAGAATTATCAGCTCTTACATTACATCTTGACCTATTCGAACATCTTTTTTCAACAACCTCTAAAGCTTTGCCTTTCTCCAAGCTGCATTTCGTTGTGAAGATCTTGTCGCTGTAGCATATTTCCCTACCAGGGACTCGACCATAGAAAGCGCTGAATATCATAATAATGTTCGAATTTTTGCATCGTATGCGAACTTTACTTCCTTGACACGCGATGATTGTTTTCATATTAGATATAGACTGCGAGGAATTGCCTGGAAAATAGACAATATTATTACCAGCTTTGCTTTAAAACTATCAGCTTGTTGAATGGTTAAATGAATGGATGAATGAAATCAAAATATTACAGATTTAATGCCTAGTGTCATAATAATTTTCCTAATTGACCCAAAAGCGTTTTTCAATTATTGGACGATCGTTTTTCGCGCCATTTTATACTTTTTCAGCTGTTATGGTTTAATTGACGTCGCGGGTTTATTGTGTTCAACTTATCACTATTTTATACATGGTGAACACCAGGGTACACTGGGTGACATATTCATACAATTAACTGTCGTTAAATGCCTTATTAACCAATCAAATGCAATGAAAAATTCCGCGAAACATTGTAGTGGCTTTCTACCTAATTAAACGGCTATTGCTACACTGATTGGCTTTTCTATCAACCAATAAGAAGTCAATCAATTGAAGGAAATATTTTTATCGTGTATGTGGAAACAAATATATAATTGTGTAGAATTAATTCATTTATTTAACAGTTTTTATTTTATAATTCATAAACTCTCTCCCTGGATTATTTGTATTTTTTACACTTAAAATAGCTGTACAGTACAAACGTACACAACGACCTTCATGATTGGTATTTTAGCCAATGAGACATAAGAAAAAACCCGCGAAACACTCTAGTGGCTTCCCGCCTAGAAAACTATGTATTGTTCATCACTTCAATCATAGTTTAGTCACAGCTACAAATAATTCCCTTTTTGACAGTACTACACGTAGAAGACCTCTTGATAAATATAAATAATAAAATAATAATAAATATATTATAAACTTTTCCATCGAGCTCTTTGACAAAGTAAAAAAAAAGAAATCCAAGTCAACCTCGTAAACGTAAAACAAATATAGAACAATTGGTAATCATAAACTAAAAATAACATAAAACTCTCTTGCTTTATTGTTTTGATGTTATTTATAATTCGTCTATTAATTTGTTTTATTATTCTGCTCTATTCTGTGGTGACACTAATGACTAGACCCAATAGTGCAATAATGAATGATATTAATATTAGATGGACTCTCTTTATAAATGTGTTTACTTTAATATATTTTGTTGCTTTTAATGGACAAAAACATCCTTCATTTCTTGATTTACTCGGTACCATAACTGTTAAACTCTTTTGCGTTCATAAAATATAAGAAAAACGTTGTATTTTTACAATTTCCTTTTTTTAACTTTTGTCTTAATTAGTGATTCGCTCAAGCCTTTTTTCAACATGTTTTCTTACTCTCTTTCTCATTTTTCATGATTTCAATAAATGTAAGACACTTGTCTGGACATAAACTATGAAAATAATGGAATAATAATATCTATACTCATAAGTAAAATCGTTACTTTTATCACAAAGAAATATCGAGACGTTTTCTCATTATTCTTTCAATATATTTTCATGTCTGTCGATGTTTTGATTGCTTTGTCCCGATATTCGTATTTTAGAACTTGTATCATTTCTAGAAATATTATTTAATTAACAACAGTTTTATTATTTAAAACTCTTGTCTAGAAGCTAATGCAATTTAATTTTGACACGCATTTATAGATACAGATTATCGTGAAATTTGCTTTCAAATCTAGCTTCCTAAAGAACCATTAAATCAAACAGACAGAGTGTATTCCATGAAATAATCAACTTTAGATATTTTGGTTCGATGACTATGTACAAAAGAACGCACATGAAGCTCCGGGAAAACAATGGATAATCTTGATTTATTCTTTTATTTCCCCGGAGCCTCGTCTGCAATTCTTTTGTGCATGGTCACTGAACCAAAATATCTAAAGTCGGCTATTTACTGTATTCAGACGTTTTTGACTGGGTTGTTTTTCTGGGCTGCTTCCGGCCAGACCCCACCTAAGGGACTTGATTACGCAATGAGTGCGTTTTAATTTGATGAACGCGATTCAAGGGGTTTTGAAGGAATGAGTATAAATAATTATACTACGGTTGCTTAGGAACAATGGATGATGATGATGATAAATTACGTTGATGATGACGACAATAATGAAAAATAATCGCGATAACAATCACTGATGATAGAGTCATTACAATTAATTATTATTGTGTAATGAATGCTACTAAATTAATTAACAGAATTAAGAATCAAGAACAAACTTTGCTTCTGCTTTGTCTTATGTTTGTTGATATGCTCATGTCAATGTTTGATGTCGCCCTTCATTCTTTGACATTTTGTCTGCTGCCTGGTCTTATGTTTGTTGATATGCTTATGTCAATGTCTTCTGTCTCATGTTTGTTGATATGCTTATGTCAATGTCTGAGATCGCCCTTCATTCTTTGACATTTCGTCTGTTGTCGACCTATGGTTCATTTTATGGTGTGAACGAGGCTGAAGATCATTTTCATAGATCATCTCATCAATCACCATTAGTTCAGCTCTTTCCACCGTAAACTATTAGCTGATTCCCACGTCTATCAATACATCTATTGAATTGTTGACAGATTAGTCATTGATTCGCGACTAATTTACTTATTGCCGTATAGAACACGCAATGACGAAAGCCTTACTTCCCACGTCAATTAGTCATATGTAAAAATATCCCAAGATCATTTTCAATGATCAGCTTCAAGTAGCAAAGAAAAATAGACTCCATACCTCTTATATTTTCCCCTCATTGCTATGTTTCTTTTTCAGTTCTCGCCCTCCCATTCCCTCTATTTTAGTGTGGTATTTTTTATAGTTATTTGTTACCTTCCTTAACTCGTGGAATAGCTAGTAGACTACCAGTTGTTAGCAAGTCTTAGTTTGATTGTTTTTCTTTGTTTCAAAGCCTGTATTACTCACTTACAAGTAGTTAGTGTTGTGTTCCAAGGGTAACGACTCTCGTACACACCTAACATTTAGTTGTAGTTTTATATTCCCTTGTATACTATTGATAGTACTACACTACAAAATCACATTATCGCGTTATTTTTATTGCGTTTCAAAGATTTTCAGTTCAAAATCGATCTCTGTTACAATATCTCTCTTAATTGCTCAAGAAAGCGTCGTTTGTATGCCATAATACCCTCGTTGATGTTGTTGACTGACATGTATTGCAATAATCCAACAGATGTCTTTGCATGAATCGAACATGTGAAACATCTCTAATTCTTTCACAATACTGAGAGGGTTTTTCTCAGGAGTCTTAGCGTAGTTTATGGAGTTATATGATATCGATAATGCATGGAAAACATCTAAAAAATGTCGGTTATTTCTGGAGAAAACTGGAAATAATTGTGTCAAGAAATCCATCGATGGCAAATGCTTGGCTCATTTATTCATTCATTTGTTTATATTGCATTTGCTTATTTAAGTGATATTGAATTCGTTTACTTTTCATTCATTTGATTATTCATCCATTCAATCATTCTCTTCCCATCCATCCATTCGTTTTTGTACTTCTTTCCTTTTGTTCATTCATGTATTCATTATTCTAATTAAAATAAAGGCTCATTTAGTAAATTGTAATGGCATATTATAATGCAATGTTATTCAAAAGAAAGATCTCATATAGGAGTTCATAAAGAATATTGTACTGTATCTTTGAACGATTCTGACATGAGTAGTAGTCTATTGTGCATTTTTGATTCAACAAAATTCGTGTCCATACAAACTTCGTTTGTTTATCCACAATCGGGATATTTCTCGAGTTAGTGTTATCCTTGCTGTTTTGCGTAATCAGTTGCTGTTTATTTACGACTCTCATGGTTAACCCCAACCAACCCACAAGTCTTTGCGGTCAGGATCCTCCAACCACATAGACATCAAACCCGTGACCGCCATCTTACCAACCAACCCTCAAAAATGACTTCTATAAAGCTGAAAATCCTTTAACCTTCAGGGCATAATACCATATAGCTAAATTATGGACCGGTTATACCCGTGCGTTAAGAAGAGTATTTCTTGTTTAAGCTTGTTAATGTTTGGTGTTTCATTGTGGCGTTGCCACGGTAATTAAGACAGCGGGACAAGAGACAACGTGACACTTCTGGGGCATAATAAAGCTTATTTTGGTTTGTGGCGACATTTTGCTCGAGGACTGTTTTATGTCGTTAAAAATGGACGTAGAATCAGCCTGAGATTACAAGAACTGTCAAAACATTTTTTCTTTTATTCTTTTGTTTTTTAATCCAGTTCCATTTTATTCCTTTTTGATTACGTCTTTCGCAAAGTAGAGATTATCAAAATCATTTCCACTTTCGTTTACTATTTTTTTATTGCATTGAAGGAATACATATATCATCATCCTCGTTTCTTAATTTTGTTACTAATAGCAACGGAAGGAAGTCCTTAACGATTTTCTATTAGCGTTAAATATCATATAATGCTTCATACTTTCTTAATAACAATGTCGTATTCCTCAATGTATTGTTGCAAGGTGCAAAACGAAATTTATTAGAAACAAAAATGGGTTGAAAACAAAATATATAAAATTTCCAAAACCTTTGAAAACATCAGTTATCGTGAAGGCTAAGTTGTGTCTATTTTCAGTGTGAATGTTGAACTAAGAATCTGCACTTCATGAAAACACCAACGACTAAAAGTCTTAAACAATATACACCTTGATTTTAATCTGCATAATGAACGTAAAGCTTTAACGAAACTGCCTGAAAGCATGAGCTTTTCATTCTTAAAAAAAGATACAAAATTGAAGAGTTATTTCAATTTTACCAATTATAGGCACTTCAGCTTTCAACCCGTTGCGATATGAAACCACATAACGCTTTTTGCATAACTAAGGGTTGGATAACTCCTACGAAATACACTTATAATTAAAATCCTGTGGGAAAGCATGGAGAAAACTCGAATCATGTCAAATAGTTGTGGAATGTTGGACAAAAATCCCTGTATTGTTTGACAGTAATCAATGGTAAATGAAGGGTTGTGTTTTGTAAATAGCCGTGGGAGGCCATTGTTAGGGGTTGGAATCGGCTTTTAATAGGACAAAAACTGAAAAATTGGACAGTTTCTCGTCGCGCGCACGACATCTTGGGCTATAGCAATACTTCAATTAAACGCACTAAAGCGAAATAAATTGTTACTAGTTCTTGTTATTAGGAGAGTTTGTCTGTCATCCGGTTTCTTCATTACATAGCTAGGGTTTTCCAATTAACAAGAGCAGAGTTTGCTTGCGATCACTGTAGTTTGCTAACGGAAAAAAGCATTTTCTTTCAATGTTTGGCGCGATTTCTTCTCGTTATCAAGGGAAACATTAGCTGTTAAACGTATTTTCAGTTTCTTATGTATTAATCTATCTATTATATAACTCATTAGGTTGGCAAGTACTTGTATACAATAGGCTATTGTAGGTTATAGTGCTATAAGCCAGTCATCACTAACACCTAACATTGACAATTGCCAAGTTATTATTGTGCTGTTAATCTCAAACTCCTTTGTCAACTCAAAATCTCAAGCTGGTTGAAAACATTTTCTTTTGTCTCGTAAATCTTAAATAATTCCCATCACTTATGATTGTATTATGGGACTTAGCACTCGACTCTAGAATTATGTACAATTTCCCCTGGAAGTATAAAACCGAATGATGTTGACAGATGAGTCAATGAAAGCGTGATTGGGTTCTAATCACTCAATATTGCTATTCCACATCCTTGTCAGGTTATTACAACACATTTTTATAACCAACGAAGCAAACGGCTTTTGCTTAATATTTTATCGTTGACAACACATGATTCTTGTACAAGAGGACCGGGAACCTCCCTTATTAATGTCTGACTTATTGCGTGTCTTCCTACAATACTTCACAGTGATATTTCAGTTTTGATAACATTTCTACTTCATGTGAAGAATTAAATAACTGATCAATTAAATGCGTATTACAAGTTGTGTCGCGAATACATGACAAAACTTGAATTTAAAGACAGCCAATCAAAGTGCATTGGACTAGACTTCTAGAACCACCTTAAACTAAACACTTAACCAACTAAAACTACCTGAAATACAGCAAACTATAGACAAGACACTGTAAATACTTATCATAAAGGTCACATATTACACACGATTTTATATCTATAAATATGAACAGAAATTGGCTTCCCTGCTGGGCATGTTGTACTTGTATTTTTAATAATTAATCATAAGAAAACCACTGTGAAGATTTTCATGCTAAATTGCATTGTCTTTTCTACAAATATATCCACCTCATATTCCACGTTAGATTTAACCGTGAATAAGAACTTGAAAGATTTGCAATGAGTCTAGCAGGAATTTAAACTATAATATAATCGAATTAACAGGGATTGCTTGTTTTAATATCAAGAGATTTGTGAACGGGTGACAGTAAAATGAAACACTATTCTAGTTATCTGGAGGTTTGAAAGGCGGGCTGGTGTGTGCAGATATGGAAAGCTCTTTGTCGCGTTCTGAATTATCAGTCTCAGGATCACTTTAATTTTAACGCGTTTTAGTGCGCATTAGAGGAATTTAGTTACAATTAATGTAAACGATTGATGTGTTTTTAGTTATAAGATTTAAAGCGCACGAAATCCCAAGTAAAACTCTTCTTTACTCTACCTAAAGCCGTACCACTGCGTGAAGTTATTGTGTACCGGGATAGATATAAACCTGATAAAATCTGAAAAACCTCTACATGAACAACAAGAAAATTACCTTTAAACAGTAGTGCAACAACAGCACAAATGTAAACCCAGCTAGCTGCCATGCTTAGTGCTCAACTATCATCATCCAATGTATACAGGCGGAATTCCTCTGTAGAGTTATCCGGTAGTGAAATTCTACATGTGGTTAGGCCCGTATGTTAGGTTTCTCTGCTATAATAGAAAACTACATCCACCGACATTCAATTCTGCCTCAATGCGGTTAACTAGTGTTGACACTAAGATTTTTAATTAGCCGGGGTTGCGGCTCGCTCATGCGCAGTAGCATAACCTTTATCATTGTTTGGTCTTCTTGGAGGTCCGTCGACATCTGGATCAATGCAGTGTAGTAATTAAACTTGTTTACTGCAACCCTGGGATGTCTGGCTCTGTCCAACACATGGATTGTTATTCCTGTGGGACGATTATTGCTTGAAGTGGTCTGCCAAACAAATATTATCTTGAGATAAGCTGAAGCCAGTCAGGAATGTTGCTTTTTTGGCCGTCATTTGTTGGTTGGTAGTTAGGGAGCGTTTTTTGGCCTACAGTTTTTTAGTGATAAAAACCATTTCTAGAGTCGAGTGCGACTATTTCTGGAAAATAATCAGCAGGCTTTTTGTAGGTTTTATTAAATACTATTTGGGTTACTACTTGATCTGAATTAATGCGATTATTAAGTTATCTTAAAGAGGTTTATCCAGTCATACATAAACCTCATCATTTCCCGTTGAACTTTCTTGTTATTTTATCTTAAATTTCTTTTTTTGCATTTTTATTCTTTTTCATTTCTCATTTAATTCTTATTTTCATTCATTCTTTTACTTATCTATTTCTACTATTTTCACATTCTTTTTATCGTATACTCATTTTTTCACTTTTTTCTTCCTATATCCACTATATCAACTGTAAGTCGGTTCTTTCCAATACTTTTCCTCTCAGACATAATAGAGCTTCTAATTGCATTGTAGTGGGTTCCTGATTACATTTAAATGGTTTTCCTATGCTAAATGATGCTCATCTGGAAATTATTCACATGACCGATAAGTATTGTGGGAATTTAAAACCATGTCTGACATAACATTATATCTGCTCGTCTGTCACAGCATCAAACCATCTCGAGCTGTATTAGCTTATGTGTTGTTGGTTCTTTTACCAATAGGTTTTCCTTCCCGAGTAAAGATCTTGGGAGGGTTCCGTGATAACAGAGCGACTTGAAATAAGTTTGTAACCTTTCGTTTTGAGTCTCAGCGTTGATCGGATATATATCAAAGCTTTGCGACTATCTAAAATAGCGTATCATGGCTTGACGTTTAAGTCTACTTACGCACTGCCTTGAGGTTATCACACTGGGTTTCTTATAATAGTACCAGAAAACTGCAAGAATGTATGCGGCGTGGTGCTATATATTCATGAGATTTGAAATGGACAGTGCTTTTTAATAAACGTTCTCTCACCAAACGCTCACATAAAATATTGTCCAAAGGAACTATTTTGCTATAGAATTCTATACAGCTTCAGCGCGCACATTCAGTTTTGCGACCGGTTTTCGAACTGGCCCTGTGTGTGTGAGAGGGGAGGTGTGTGTGTGAGGAGTGAGGTCCTATGCTATGGGTTATGTTTTTGATGGCAATATTCGCAAATGAAAATTATATTAAAGAAAATCAATATTATTTTTTATGAAATGAAGATTTTCGATGAAGGTGATTTTGTGTTTTGAGTCAAATTTTGAGCAGAATATTTTCCATCGATATTGAATACCCACAATGCCTTTCAGTCATTCAAATACCCACAATGCCTTTCAGTCATTCGTTTGCCGTTCTCTACAGCAACCTTTTCTAAATACTCACTAAGTCTATGTATATGTCTCCAGGTTAACGAAAGCTACTTTATTTATCAATTTTATTAATTTTTCAAACATGTGTGTGACTAAACTAGAAATGGCGTTTCAATGTGCTTTTAATAAGTATTCTAAAATATTTAGGATACTACGCGCGCTGTGATTGGTCGAAAACCATGTTTGATTACAGTATCAAAACACGCTCGCGCACGTCAAAAATTTCTTTTTTTCTTTTAATTTTAGAAAAGAAATAAAAGACGAAATTCCGTGTTTGATACTCTGATCAAAACACGCGGGATGTAGGGAGAGCACTCGAAAAGCTGGAAACCATGCTACGCGTCGTGGTTTCCTACGCTTCTCTCGTGCTCTCCCTACATCCCGCGTGTTTTGATCAGAGTATCAAACACGGAATTTCGTCTTTTATTCCTTAAATAAACTGACTGGGCCGACGACGACATTCAAACTGAATAGAGTGGTTTTCCGTCAACCATGAAAACACTATAAGTCTAATAGTTAGTTGCAGTTTGTAATGTACCAATTCTAATAGTCTAGGTTGTATCCGTATAAGTTTTTTTTATTTTAACTTTTAATTAAACTAATTAAACTAAACGTTTAATATATTCAAACTAGTCTGCTGTTTGTTAGCTCTGCGTTTATAGTTTATATGTCTAAAGTTATATTGACTAGTCTATTATTGCTACTAATTTGTTGGTCTATTTCTTTTCATGGTTGACGGAAAACCACTCTATCGATAAAAAGGCATCTAGACTTAATTAGACAAACATTGAAGCGTTTGTGACCATAAAACCATTCAACAATTATATAAGAAAACAGATAAAGGAATATCTTTTACATATAATACCTTAGGAATATAGAATATTTTTATAATATTTTAGAAATACTTTTCAATGTTCATTTTTCAAGAGTTTTTGTGGTACTATGCCTGGACTCCTTTCTCTTTGGGAACTCCATCATCATGAAAGGGGACTCATCATCTTCATCGACAATCTTTCTTGGCAAACGTGGGAAGTTCTGAACAAATGGACCATTAGTTCGTGTGCCTTTACTTTTGGACTTATGTCTGTATTCTTGGTTCTCTTGTTTTTCTCTTCCATTTTCCTTGTTCTTTGATTTCTTTGAAAAATGATTTGGAGATGCTTCTACCCGACCATAGAAACGATTCAAGAACTTCAGAAGTTTCATCGCTTTTTCTTTCTTTAAGCCAGTTCAGGAAAGTACTTCAGTTTGAAAATACTTAGTTACTTATATTTCTCATGGTTACACTGACGTCAGAACCATAGCAACAGAGCAATATTGCTATGGTAACGTTACATCACACTACATTGCCATGACAGCTATATGACGTCAACAGAGGACCTATTAGTCAGCTATCGTTTAGGTTATTAGTATATTTGATTAATGGGTATGCAATGACGTCATAACGATATTAACAGCTAACAACGGAACAATATTGCTATGGGAACGATACGTTATACTTCGGTTGTCACGACTACCGCGACGTTAGTTGAGTATCCTATTTGTTAATTCTCGTTTATTTTTGTTAATTAACTTTTGTTTTTTTGGTTTGTTTGTTTATTTTATAAAAATAGATAAGTGTTTTTAATGTGAAATGGAGTGCTATAGATTAACTTTTTATCCATTTAAGCTCATAACGATGTCGCTCATGTTGATTGGCTGTTAAAACGTACATGTTGATTGGTTGTTAAAACGTACATTTTGATTGGCTGTTAAATCGTACATGTTGATTGGTTGTTAAAACGTACATGTTGATTGGCTGTTAAATCGTACATGTTGATTGGCTGTTAAATCGTACATGTTGATTGGTTGTTAAAACGTACAGGTTGATTGGCTATCAGGCTATCGCATACAAATAGCTTCCTGGAAAAAGAAGAATGTGTGTGCAATAAAAATCTGCAGTCAACCTGTAGTTATTATTAGTTTTTGGAGTTATCTTATCACCATTGCAAACTCGAAAAGAAGTGTTATAATAATTATAATATATATAAGTAACACGTGACAACTGTTTACATGACGTTTTATTAGTTTATAAACAATGAACCATACTATATCCGGTTGTAGAGCGTGTCACGTGACTTTGTGATCACGTGGCAGCAACTTCATGTGTCATTAACTGACCTCACGTGACCTCTGATACCATCATCCATTCAGTGAAATGATTGGCTGTTCGGCGTCACGTGACTTTTCTTTGATATGAAAATAAGATTATATTTAGTGTTGGTAAACTATTTGAATGATCTTAGAGTGCGCGCTGTGAAGCAAATCTGTGTTGTCCTATTGGACTAATTTTTTTCGGAGAATAAAATATCACTGAATTTCATTGTAGTATAGTATAACGACAACAATCATTGTAGCTTTTGATAAACTAAAGTGTTAAACCATGTGGGAGAAGCTTGGAAATCATACAGGAGCATGCGCACTTAGCTTAACGGTGTGCGTGATCTAATCATCCATTTCACTAGTGAGTGGTATTTACTGGTAAATGGAAATTCCAGGAAGTGTTGACAAGATAATTTTAACATTACGTTTAAGTATTAAGCTGCGTTGCTTGTTCAAATATAAATTCTGTTGCTATTGTGGACAAAGGTCATGCGCCATCTTGAAACGTAGCGGTGCCTTTACATCTATAAGGCTAGACGAATTTTCGATGTTCAGCTTTTAAATTAATTAATTACCTTCCAGGCGTAAAAGCCATAACTGCGGACACGATGACAAAGACATATTTCGCGATTTTATAAAGTGTTGGTGTTTAACAAGGATTACGCGACCGAAAGTCAATTTGGGTATTTAATCTTTGATGAAGGTTATATAAAACCATCAAATCTCTAATAAAGATCTTCATTTAATGCAATGTCTGCCTTGCTGAGTGAATATTGACATCAGTAATCAATACCTATAGTAAACCTCGGTCCTGTGCATCCTTCAAGAGGCGATGTGCAGCGGCGCCATTTCTCGGGCAGCAAAGCATGATTGTAATCCTGGTACTTTTTCACGTCCGCTAAAACAGTCCTTCTAACCAGTTTTTGCTTTTTCTAAGCGAAAATAGAAGTATTTGTGCCGCTTTTAAAAAGAAAATATAAAAACGGCTTTTAAGTAGATATTTTAGGATCTATAATAAGTACGAGGACTACAACTACCATCATGCTTTGCTGCACAAAATGGCATCGATGCACATTGCCTATTGCTCAGACAACCTTGTATAAAAAAGCTGTATAACGTCTTTATCACAGACCATAAAATACTAACAGGGTATGCTAACACATGTATCCATGGTAATGGTCTCTGTACATACAAAGGCATGGCTGCCGCACTTTCAAAATGGCGCTGCAAACTGCGTGAAAGGAACAGTCATTATCATATTGACAAACAAACTCGTCACTACTTGCTATGAAAACTTCCTTGCAATGCTCTTTGTGGTTTTTCCTTTTCACAAAAGTCTTATCCAACACGGTTTGTAGTGATATCAGAGAAAGGAAAATACCAAAACTACAGTTATTCCCAAAACAGATGAACTGAATTTGCTCGGAGATGAGTTTGACAGGAAATCAAGCTCCACTGATCCATCTGGGTTGAATGTTATCGGTTTTTTCTCGTCTTTAACTCTTGCTTTCTTGATCTTTCTACCTGGAATGGTTCTTGGTTTGGTTGGTGTTGTGGTTGGTGTTGTGTTTAGCATTGTTGTAGTGTTAGTAGTTAACCTGGTGTGGTTTGTTGTTGTATTAGTTGTTGTTGTTGGCATTGTAGTGGTTGTGAAAGGTTTTGGTGTCTTTGGATTTTGCACTGTAAAAAAAAGTTGTCAACGGTTCAGTAACCTGAGATAGATGCGTACAATCTGTGCAGTAGTTCTGAAAACTGCAGGATTATTTTTTGTGGTTTTAGTCTGGTCATTAGCGCTCTTACTATTGTTATGGTTAACATGTTTTTGACTTTTAATTTATAACTCAAGAACAAGAAACACTAGTACATATGCAAATAAACTCATCTCCAGTCTTACATATCCCAAAAAGGCCGACGTCGTTCTTCTACCGAGCGTCGCATGGGTAGCCTGAGTATCAAGCTCTCAAAGGGATTGGGGCGGAGGAACACGAGGGCTTGGCCTGAGAGTTCCATTAACAGCCCATGCGATTATAATAATACTATTATAACTTACCACAAGCAAATACTAAGTTCAAGTACTTAGCCACATCAGGACACAACTTGTTGCCAAATATCTTTTCAGTTACTTCGACCTCACATTTGTTTTTGTAGTCACAAAGTTCTTTCAAAAGTTCTTTCTTGTCGACCAGATCGCAAGGCTGCCAGTCAGAATCCCGGTTCGTCACGCAGAAATCACTGCTAGCTCGTCCAAATGAAGCGGACTTGACTTGTATCAAGCTGGGAAAATCGCAGCTGAATTTCGCCGTTGTGTTTTCGCAGAAAATGTCCACTCGCAGAGATCTCATTTGAGTGAAATCTGTCCAAATAGAATAAATAGTTTTAATAAAAATGCTGTTATCGAATACACTAAAGGTGGACTGTGATCATTATTTGTCCATAAATCACCCCGGCGATTCCTCCAAGATGTGGAATTGATCATTATTCTGCCTTAACTGAAGAAAGGATAATTTATCCCAAAGAAAGAACTGTTCACCTTCCATTACATCGTCCCATGCATTTTCCCTTATATTCCCAGTTTCCATCCTAATTTTCTCTTTCCTTCCCTTTTTCCTTCCTTCCGTCCTTTCTTTCTTTATAACCAATCATTATAGTTTCCCAGCAATTTTCCTCTTTTTCTTTCCCCCTTTCCCTTTTTTTTCTTTTTTTTTCTTTTTTTTAACTTTTTCTCTTATTTTCGTTTTTCTTTCCGCCAAAACCTTGCAGTATTCACTATTTGAAAGCCGCCTTGTGCCATGATCCTATTAGCTGAGATGTCAGCCTTGTATTAGCGTGTTTATTTACTTTCTATAAGATATGTCGTCTTCAATCTAGCACTTTACCAGGATTATCTTTGCTTTAAGTCCACCTTACTACAAATACACTAAAAATCATGTCAAACCCCGATGTTTTATCGCAACAATCTTATCTTGATGGTCGCTAACAAAACTTGATTTCAATATTGGTAGAATGCACAATATGAAAAGCCGAAGTACTGAGACTGAATATATGACTAAAGTATGACTGAAAGTATAACGAATTTAGGCGCAAATTGGTATTGACTTGTCTCAGTTGTTACACGTCTTCATTAGGCATATTTACTCTGAATTCAACTTGTCAAGGCAGTTAGTAATAACAGGGTAAATATGGCATTATAACATGATTGAATCCTGTCTTGAAACCAAGTAGTAACAAGTATTTTTCAGTTTTAATTTTATTCTAGCTTAAATTATTTTTTAAAGAAGTCCCGGGCTAGATTCCCAAAATCGTCTGTTTTTTGTTGGTTTTTTTTTTCGCGATTTTTATCAAGTTTAATGAGATAGTAGCTGTCTTTACTCAGTGATAGATTTGGATCAAAATATTATTATTTACGCGAGCAAACGAAAAAGTTTCCGTTTCTCTCTCTCTCGCTATTTCGCATTATGCAATAAGTGTTTTCAGTGAAAATGTTTATGTAAGGCCGACAATTTTTTTTTTTTTTTCATCTGTGCTCATTGGGCGGCCATAGCAACAGTTATAGAAATGGCAAAGTCTGGTGTTATTAGTAATAAGGGTTATTATTTTTGTTTTCAGAAGAATAGCTTTTGTGCGTTAATATTCGTTTAAACGATCTTGAATTTTCAGCTCCACAAGAGTGTTACAACGCTTTATAGTATGGATTGGTTGGAACAGAGTTAAAAGACATCAGCTTATTTCTAACTCCTCAACTAACACGACCAAGAGACGCCAAAGGAACTAGTATAGTCTGGAAAACAACACTGAACGTTTGCATTAAACAACACGGGAATTGATAATTAATCGAGTCTGCTAGCTTATCTCTTTTTTTGTTATCCTGTTTGCTGGTTTTGTTAATCTTGGGTTTATGGTTCTGGGCTAACTATCGTTCTAATGCGCGCTCAACGCACTCGTAAACAAAACTCAATGCTCACGTAAAAATATTGTTAATAAATAGAGCACAATTATTCCTACATTTGCTATTCAAATTAGTCTTCTTGGGATTGAAATTTTTCCCTTGTTTGAATATTCAGCTTTTTGAGTATAACCAGTACAAGTTTTTTGTCATTTTAATGTATTTTAACTGTTCCCGTTTTGGTCTTTTGATTTTCAATTCACTCTCACTCTTTACGCGGTATTCGAGGTCATTTTAAAGCCAAATTGTCTGTTGGAATCACAGTTTCGGGTGTAGAGAGGACTATGTACAATTCGCTTATTAGTCACATTAAGTAGCTACGCTGAAACAGTATTTCAATGGATTTCCAAAAACATCCGTTAAAATACTAACCAACTCTAACACGGAAAACGTTCATCACGATGTACATGCACGCGCGGGTTTTTGAACGTCTTCATTTTAATCACATGTAAAAAATACCCAGCGATATTGTTGTTAAAGATTTCTATTCAGCGTTCATTTTTCTCTTTTTATCTATCTTGTTGGTAAGTGACTACAAACCGCACGGAAACTCACCTTCAGTGGTGTAGCAAACGACGAAGTTTGTGCAGGCCATAACCATCCATGCATACGGTATCTTTACAGAGACTTGACGCAATAACTTCATTTTGGTTTAGTCTTGTCGAAGTGAACCACAATTTAGATAAGATGAGTAATATTGAACGGTCTGCTTACATTGTTTACCTACAGAGTCCGACTGATTCTGGTTTTCTCTATTAATGCCTAGCATGAAAGCCCTTTGGTCGGCGGGTTAATTGAGATTTACCATTGCATCGCAAAACTAATGAATAATGAATAATTCTAATGTTAATTCATTCTCTTTTTATGGGTAAAGTTCCGGTGTGTTGGCAGTAAGGAGCTTATCCATTCACGGCGTCTCGTAACAACCGATATTTCATCCATTCATTTCCCTTTATTTCTTTCCATTTGACATTCGTGGGTAAAACAATTGCTTCATATTTGTCGTCGATCAATTTTCAATTAACTTAAACCGCGGAGGTTTCGTTTAAATTGTTGAGTCCTTAATTTTAAAGAGGAATTCTTTACGCTAAAGAATTCACATCTTAAACAGCCAATTACAATTCGTCCCCTCACAGGTGAAAACCTCAGGCACCATGTCGAGAAATGTTGTGGAACTTTCTCTTTTCTCTTTTCCGTTTGCTAAATTTACCATCACTCTAGTTCTCATTCAACCAACTCAAAATAAACATGTGTTTTCTCCACTTGTACCCGCTAAAAATCAAAATACTCAACCATTTCACAAGACCCCCTGTCGGCCCCTCTGTTTTAAACACGATTTAAATAGAAATATTGACCCTTAAATTTTCGCGGAAAATTCCTCCTTTTTATCACATATCGCGTTAAAATTAAAAAGCGTCGTTTTTTTTTTTACAAATGTTCATAATCATATGATTATCGTGTCTTCGTTGATCGTGTAAATTATTGTTTGTTTTTAGTGATAATGAATCTAGTTGCATTCCGTGGGTAATTAGACCGTTCTTAAACGCTGCATTTTTAAACTGTTTAACGACTTGCTTCACCTAAATATGCCGGTTCACAGCATAAAAGATTCACGTGTTTTTCTTTGTATAGGTCTTTAGTCGGTGGACTTTTAGTTTCAGCTGTAGGACACAGTTTTACACTTACGTTGAGATGCGAATTCGTGTCGTTATCATTATATCCATCCTAAAGGGAAATCAAGCCGCCAATGGCAACACAACTCGAACTAGAACAACTCGAACTCGTCTAGTCTTCGTCCCCCTCCAACAACTCTTCGATTGCTTCGCAATCTTCGAGTTAAAAACGACCTTTTTAATAAATGTTTAACCTTAGAAAGCAAATAGTGAACCTTTTATCCTCCTTTTATAATAATAATAATAAATCGTTTATTTGCCACATTGCAGAATTAACTGAATTAAAGGGCTAAGGATTACAAAAAAATATGAATAAATGTATGAACAAGAGTATACAGCCTTTTGCACAAATTATGAGACATTTTTATATATATAAATATACCTAACCAAATATCAAAAACACCCCAGAAATTATGGTACATCTCTATTATATTTTGTCATGATTGCCTAGCATCAGGTTGTTACAGACAAAATATCAGCGACGGTATCCCATAATTTCTTGGGTGTTTTTGATATTTGGTTAGGTATATTTATATATATAAAAATGTCTCATAATTTGTGCAAAAGGCTGTATCATTATGATCTATCTATATATATATATATACATTATACTTATCTATTTATTTACATGTATCTGCTATTAAAGGTGATAAATGAGCTAGAACGCTGTAATACTTCTATTAGATAAATCGGAAAAAATCCGCGTGGCAAGTTAACTGATCTTTTATGAGCAGCGACATAGCAATAGCCTGTCAGTTGTAGGTACAAACGAGTGCGTATTGTTTTCAGTGTTCTTGATGCTCTACTTTTTGACAATCATATTACTTAATGTCAGTAGCTGCGGTAAACGTGTGTTATTGCTTCCAATGACGTTTTCACTGATAGGATTTTTATGTCTTCGGTTTTGTCCGGGCAGTACATTAGAAACCGAATGGTAAACCTTTTATCATCTAATTAATACTAGCGATTAGATCACAATGGCATGTTATTAGTAAATGTTTTTTTGTGAGTGAACTTGTTAGAGACAGCCTGTCATTTGTATGGCACAACCGATTGAAATGTGCTGTTGTTTTCAGTATTCTTTCTGTCTACCTTTCGACAATCATAGCACTTAATAGAATAATTACCTGAATTACTTCGTCCCCAACTCATGCCCAAACAAACCATGGTGTACACCATCAGTAGCAGTGTTTTCAAACTCTTCATGTTCTAATGTGATCTCTGATAACTAACAGCTCCGTGGATAATTGCCGGAAAAAAGTTCTGAATGCGAAACAACTTTATGCTGAGACACTTTGATGTAAATTATCTTTTTCGTTTCGTAGTAGGAAATGAAACAAACTGTCAATCGTATACCGTTTTCTTTACTGGATTAATGAAAACGTGAGCAGATCTAGTCGTGGTTTCATGAAAAAAAAAATAATAATTCGCATTTTATAGTTACTAAACCTACTGGATTATTATGAATCATTTCCTTTTTATTCATTTACAACAACTTTTGTATTCTACCTTTCAGGACTCGTTCCTAGACCTCTGCCATGCATTGACCAATTAGAGCGAACGTTCAATATTCACTGTGTTCTTATATATCTACATCAGTCATAATTAACAATCAAAGCTTATTCTGAAGGACCAAAATGAAATACTAGGAAAATTCCAAACATAACGTTTTGAATTTACATTTCAGAATTCAGAAAGAATTTATTTAAGTTCCTGCTTAAATCAAGCCGCCAATGGCAACTACGGTGGCCCATAGGGGACATGCTGCAAATAAAACGAGTTGCTGCAAATAAAAAACGAGTTGCTGCAAATAAAAAAGCAGTTGCTGCAAATAAAACGAGTTGCTGCAAATAAAAAAGCAGTTGCTGCAAATAAAAAAGCAGTTGCTGCAAATAAAACTTATAACTTACTACAAAAAATTAATGTGAATTTCACTGGAGTTATTCTTACAATTTATTGAATCAGTAAAATGATAAGATAAATAGAGGATATTACATGGGCGCGCGGAGATACGGATTTTATCTTCGAGTGTTGAAAAGATTTAAGAGATTTTCAACATGAGAAGATAAAATTCGTATCTCCAAGCGACCATGTTATATTCTGTTTATCATATAATTACATATGAAAAGCAAATTATGTCGTTAAAATACCTTTTTTCTTACTTCCACTATATACAGAAACTTCAAATGTGATATTTTCACTAGTGAAAATAACATGTTATTTTCACTAGTGAAAATATTAATTTTACGAAATGGAGAAATATAGATATTTCATAGATAATTATATGATAATAATAACTATTAACTAAACAATAAAGAATTTAAAGTCGAATAAAATTGCTCTAACGAAAGCAAGAACTGTATAAGCTATTTCGTAGATAATGTGAACTACCTACTTTAGTTTTTCCTAGTTCTGCCTGCACATTCATTTCGCTCACAGTACAGAAGTTAGTCCTTGTCAGAAAGTTCCTCTTTTATCAATTAGCAACTGAACTCGACTATTCCTCGTGCCTGTCATTGTAGGATATGCTGCTTGGATACAGGGACTGCCGGTTCGCTGGAAAAAATATTCGCCTTCACTTTTGAGGGTTGCATGTGGCACAAAAATCGTTGAGTATTAAGAGATTAGGTCAAATAGCTTCTCATGAATTTATTTCAGCTTTTTGGATGAGCAAGATTATCCGTCCAGTTCGTACTGTACATGTCTGAAGCTTGCATGTGGCAAGAAAATCTTGTAGTATTAATCAGATTGGACCTATCAATCACATTCTCACAGGAGGATTAATCTAAAGTGCATCTTTCTCATTAAAACGAAGCTTAAAAATCACTTGAATTCAAGCAAAAAGAAAGAGAAAAAACACGGGGATTAGTGTTCCTATGACGACACGAATATCAACAAAGCGCACCGATGACGCAGAGCTGATGTCGTCTATGATGTCATCGTCAACGTCATCAGTTTGGTTGCATTTTTCTATTCGTCTTGGCTTCGGCCATTCTTGACCGTTCTCGTCCAGTCTGTGGTATTCGTCGATGTGGATGCGGAATTCTTCTGCAGGCGCTGTAGTAGCGGCTGTAGTAGCGGCAGGTGTTGGTGCCGGTGCTTTACTTGGTGGTTCAGGTGTTATTTGTATTGCTGTTGATTGTTTTGTTGTTGTCGAAATGTAAACCACTGTAGAAAAGAAAATAAGCAAATCAACACGAGTTAAATCATATTAATGGAGCCTGACTATTGGTTGGTTAAAACGCGCATTCTGATTGGTCAATCAGTCGTGACCAAATAAATGAAATGAATTATACCCAATCAATGTGCGTTGTCCTATTGTACTTATTATTGTTTCCTTATATGGCGTAGCCTGTGTGCAGCCGTTCCTTGTTGATTTCTTCGCTCCGCCCCCAACGAGGAACGCCTACACGCAGGCTATATATGGTGCATAACTTCCTTATTTGGAGCTGTCCTTACCGCATGCGTAGATGATTGAGAGATACTTGGTGACATCAGGGCATTTTCTATCATCACCAAACGTGTAGGCAGAGGCGATGATTACACACTCTTTTTCACCATTACAAGCCTTCCTTAGATTGGCCTCCTTCTTCTGCAATAACATTTTAAGACTTTCAAGAAACCAACAGAGTAAGTGATCGAGTGGTTGAGGGTAACGCCCCAGACGTCGATCTTTTGTCGCGTCTAATCTAATTGCCTGAGTTGAGTTTATAAACACTTCGTACTCTGAATTTATTGACATTGGCAGATTTTTTTCAGTTGGACAAACTTGTAATAATCCGTAAATATCAATTGATTTATTCTGCAAAGTTCTCGTGAACTACATTTGCAAGAAATTAGATTCGACGCGGCAAAAGTTTGACGTCTTAAACGGGCCTAACAAACATCAGTCGATGCACTTGATAACAATCATTGTCGATGTAAGTTCGATCGATTAAGACCAATACAGTACAAATCGATGCACGTAAGACTTACCATTTTATCAGATCCATCCATTTCACATGTTTCTTGTTTTACAAAGTTGTTGTTACAAAGCGAATCCTTGCCTTTTTGTCGTCCGTAAAACAGCGAATTGATACTGAGTTTTTCACCTGGCTTATCGCAACGTAGAACTGCTGTTTTCGCTGTATTCACTTCACAAACGACCTCTGTCTTGTACTTACCTTCGGGTCTTGTGTCGAGATCTGAAATCAGAAAAATCATCTGTATTTATGGGAGAAAAGCCGCGAAATGTACTTTGCCGTCGGTATCATATCATTTTTGCGAAATGGTTGAGAAACGAGTAACCAGTTAAAGAATTAAGAACCAGTTGTGTAAAAAGGTAGGTGAAATAACTTACTGACGTTTCGGACGTTAATCCTTCGTCGGACGTAAAGAATTAGTGAAATCAATTTTAAGATTACGTCATTGTTTCCTGGACTAGTAAATGAGAGCCAGGAATACACATTGTGAAAAGATTCTGGTATTACTTACAGTTCTGACTAGTTGAGAGTCCAGGAAGACTAGTAAGAACTAATACCAACAAAAATACTTGGTAAACCATTTTCCACGCGATAATGATCCAATAATCAATGCGAGCAGTTGTACCAGTAGGGTTGCTGTTTAGTTAACGTACTTATTTTCACGATATGATCGTGCCACGGGTTTTCGCAATGCACGAAGAGTGTTATGACTATGTCCTGCAATACAAGAAAACTTGTTTCTTATTGTCATCCCTCCGTAAATTCCCTTTCATTTTTCCGTGCAATTGTATATTTTTGTACAAGCAAATTGAGACGGAAAATAATGGCGAAATACTGTATCTTAACGACTGGTTTATAAACTATTAAAGCTAGGAAAGACATGTCATCTCGCTAAGTGAGGAGGAAACAGCCCTTCAACACTGACAGAGTTGTACTGGGGAATGAAAGGTAACACAAATAGACCATGTGTCATGATGCTGTTAATATAGGATCAATTTTGCTCCTCGTTATCACTATGGATCATAAAGTCATTCCACATACACTGCGCAAATTAACATTGCGTTGCGAATTTGAATCATTTCAAAAACGTTTTGTAAAGTAACCTGTTTAAGTCCAATTCTCCTTCTTTTTTCCGCCTTTTGTCTTTAGTGCGGAAGTATAGCGTTAGTACCCTGCCAGCAGCAAACAATCTTTTTGCTATTGGTATCCCTTCTCGTGTGTTCTTTATGAATTTTTATGCTGAACCCATGAGCTAGAAGAACAACAGCTTTGTTCATTTAATTCACTAATTCCGTGTGGTTTTGTAATCACTTTATCAACGTCAAGTGACCAATCGAAATCCAGGAAGAGAGTTTCTACTAATTCAGCCAAGACAACGTTGTTCACGCCCTGACCCTAGGCACTCGTTTTGGCTATAGACTTGTATTCTATTCTTGTACTGTTTTACAACATTAAACTTAACGAAATAGATATAGACTTAAGTTAGCACATAACGATGACGATACGAGATAAACAGAGTAAGTGATCATCGATTGACTGTGTTTTGTTAGCAGTAATCAATTATTGATCATTTCATATCATAATATATTTAATACGCCTGATAAGGTAGTTAATTTTTGACAAATCGTAAAGCGAGGAAACTAATGATGTACAATGGAAGGTTGGCTTGTGATGATGTCATGAAGGTAAAGAAATCAAATGAAAAACTCCTTTATTTTTCTTTATCGTATTTTTCTTAGAAACATTTAATTCTTCTGCGATTTTCTTATTCTATGTATGGGATCCCTGTGTAATATATTTCCCAGGTTCTCTCTCTTTACGAGGAACGCCTGGTACTTTCAACGGGCCAAAATGGCGCCGTCCGGTGGCAAAGAGAGAGAGTGAAAACATTCTTTATAAAACCCTTTCATTTGTGTATGTTTGCAAAAATATAGAAGTCATGTGTACTCTACAAGAACTAGAGGCTTCAGCGGCGATAATGATGGTAAGTTTTAGATTGATTTTCACTTCAAATCAAGAGCCCTTTTTGAGACAAACTCAGTTTGTTGATGGAAATTTCAATAATAACATTAACTTTAAGTGCCTTCATTTATTCTAATGATTGATGCCAATTATCCTTCCTTTATAAGATGGCAATCAGTATGTCAGTAAAACATCTGTCCTCAGGAATATTTAATTGGATATTTCTCTTGTTTTGAAAAAATAAATTAACCGGCAATGTTTTTGTTTTGTAAAGATTTCCACGTGGCTGAAAATGATTGCTTACATGTTTTCATTCATCATAGTTTCTAAGTCCATCCCAATTCTCGTCATTATTTGAAAGATGAGCTTTTTAAATATACGATTTTCTTGTAGTTTTTCATGTAGAATATGCTACTAAGGGCTTGTTGCATTGAAACAGTCTTTACTTGCATTACATGTAATTTGATTTCAATGGCATGCATGTCAGTTATTCAGGCTTATCCTTGTAGTATAAATAAGGGACATAATAATACAAGACAGCTATATCATTGTATGGACGTTCATAATGTTGTATTACACGGTTTGACTTTATAATATAATTTCTGCTTGTTCAGGCATCACCTACCATTGTTACACCACAACAACGTCATGAGGCAGAACAAGTTTTCATGAAACTCAGAAAGTCTAAATCACCCTACATCTTCTGTAAACAAGTCCTTGGTAAGTTCACTTACTGCATCTTGAAATGGTTTTGAGAGAATTATTGGCAAGACAAAACTATGGCATCTTTAATTGCTAATTTTACTAAAACATAAGACTAAAAGTTATTTATTTATTAACAGAGCAAAGTACAAATGATTACGTCATGTTCCAAGCAGCTTCCACCATCAAAGATGCTGTTCTTAGAGAGTGGGCATTACTGGGAAAGGAAGACATAGAGTCCTTGAGGACATTTCTCCTGACCTTTGCCCTCCAGAAGCAAGGGTTTGTAGTTTCCCTATATTCACTCATAAAAAGCAATAAAAGTGTATTTCGGGTTGACGATGATGATGCCAATGATGACCATCATTTCTCAATTGTATTTTTTTGTGAGTCGCACCAAACATGATTGATTTTCAGGGTTCAGCGGTATGTAAAGGAGCAAGTATTACAAGTTGTTGCTGTCATGTTCAAAAGAGGTTCTCTAGATGGCAATCAACAAGCATGGATGTCATTGTTTAGTGATTTGACACGACTTATCACAGGCAATGAAACAAGCATGGTGAGTGAGCACAATTAGAATGAATAGTTATCATAAAATAAAGTTAAAGAATCATAACCACCTGCCGTACCTTGCGAACTGAAGCGCCATTTTAGGTGGACACGAAAATGGCAGATTTGTAGGATTTCTTAAAGTGAGCGCAAATCGTCTTCCGTCCTTTCAGTTTGGACAGAAATACCTTTAACTAAGTACCTTACAAGTACTATCAATCTATAATTTATTGTATACTTGACGCATTTAAACGTATGTAAACAATAATACGAGCGCGCAAGGTATGACGGGTGGTTATGATTCTTTAAATACTGTAGAAAGATCAAAAACTTAAGATGTCTGTCCTTTGCCAAAGTAAAACAGTGACTAGTTTTGATCTTTTTGTGGAGTTACTTTAAGATGTTTTTTTTCTCACAGTAGTGTTCTTGTACATCATTTTTGGGAACGATTATTGTTATTTTGTTTTCATTTTCAGCAAATACTTGGTTGCTCAATCCTCAAGGCTTTGCTCAATGAGTTCTCTTTCATCAATCATTCAAGTGACATTGGATTGAGTTGGGAGTTTCATACACGCTGTAAACATACATTTGAGGTACATCACTCTCAATTTAGTAGTTTTCTTCTCCTTTACTATTAAAACATGACCAAAAAGTTAAAGAAGTGAACAGCAAATGAAATGTCGTCAGTCTTGCTTGTATTTTGTGTAGGTATTTCACAGTAACAATAAATTTCTTGTTTTTGTAGACCAAATATTTGAAGGAAGCTTTTTGTCTTGTCATCCAAGTTCTTAGATGTTTTGAAGCTGTGGATGGAAAGTCAATGTCTCGTGAACAGCTTGTTGCTTTAGTGAGGTTCTTGTCTCTTGCTGAACAGATTCTTCACTGGGAACACACTGTCTATAATCATATCCTTGATATTGTTCATTTTGTTTCATTCTGTTCTATGTCTCCTTTATTCATATTTTGTCATTCCGTCATTCAACATCCATTTGTTCATTAACTATCCCTTCTCCCATCATTTATATTTGTGAACAATCTCTGCAGTATGAGCCTTAACAGTGATTACTAAGGAACAGAAAAAATACTCAAATTAACCGAGTGATTCTGCTGAGGCCTGACAAATCATGGAAGAATGTTCTGTTTGATCCTCAAGTCATTGGACTCTTTTTTAGTGTAAGTGTTGTCATGGTGATGTACTAGACATCAGTCTGTTGCCATGGCTACTGTATCATCAAATGTTGTCATTCTGAAATTGTCATGGCAATGGAGGTAACCCTCATGTTATTGTCATGGTGATTGAAATGATATCATTTTGTTGTCATGGTTTTGGAGAAGACACTGTGTTGTTATGGTGATGGAAAGTGATCTCGTTTTCTTGTCATGGCTACAAAGGTAACAGCGTTTCACTGTAGGAATATTTTTTTCCAGATTTTATCCCGTTTTCAAGAGAATGAAGAACTATGTCACCATGGTTTTCAGTGTCTCATTCAACTCGCATCACTTTGTGGACCTATACTGAACAATAAAACAGAACAAACGCAGTATCTTGCACACTTCCTGACATCATTTCATAGTCTCACTAACAGGTAATGCAGTCAATCGCCTGCCACCATCTCTTTACCATGGGAAAGATCATTGGTAAAGAAACCTTCCTAAAACCTAAACAAAACTAAGACTTCATTAACCAACTTTTTGTTTGTTTAAGTTTAAAGATGACAAGTCCAGTAGCACTTGGTTTGTCAAGTGTTATAAACAGGCTGTTGACAGTCTTCCCTGCTACTTGTGTTTCATCTCTTCCTGTGGAACTCCTACTAACTACACAACAAATGATGGCAGACTTGACATGTGGATTCTTAGAGGCAGTTACTAAGGAAGAAGAGGTAGCATGTTGTCTTGGATTGCTTTTTTTCTCTTGAAGACTTATTTTTTTTAGGGTTTTCATGATTAACTTTCATCTTGCACTGTAAATTCTTAGACTTAAAGTTATAAAGTATTTTTACTTTGATGTTTTTCAGCTTCATACTGAGGACACAAGTTACATGGAAGCTGTAGACCAGATATTGGAATCATGGGGAACTCTTCTTGAAAATACAGATAAATACCCAACAAGCTTCTTCAATCAAAGCTCTTTTAAAATACTTAACACTTATGTACGGTGCCATCTTGCTGTGCCCGATGGACTTCGGGGTTCATTTAGTAATGATAATGAAGGTCTTCATATTGATGAGATATGTGACTTAGAGGGCGATGATAGGGAACTGTTTGCTGATCAATTGTGTAGTATTGGTATGTTTGCAAGACTTACAATTGAGCATTCAATACCATTGCTAACAAACCTGATTGATGACAGAGTACAGAAACTAAAAGGACAACTGGCCACCTTTCAGAATCCAAACCAAGGTATGGCTTGGAAAACGATGTCTGACAAGCACGTCTTTTGACAGCTGTGTAGATGTGTCTTTCTAAAAGAGGTGTCCTTAATTCATGTTTATATTATGGTAGTGAAGTTGTCCTTCAGTAGCATTGTGTTGTGCAGAATAAAAGTTTAGGCCATGCGCTAATGTTTATATGTAAATATTTATCATTCTCCTGATAATGTTAGTAACCAAAGAAAGCTTAAGAAAATTAAGTTTTCTAAACAGTAGTGTATGGCCTTTACTTTTATTCTGCGTGTTTATATCATGTTGTCATTCAATGCAGGTTTGTCCAGTCAAAGTGCTCATGGTATTGAGAGTTTATTCGAGGATCTTCACTGGCTTCTGCTCATTGCTGGTCACATGATTGCTGATGAAAGTACCGGTGAAACTCCATTAATACCCAATGAGATATTACAGTTTTCAACAGCTCAAGAAACTCAAGTCAACTTGCAATGCACACTGGATCATTTAACAAATAGTGGAGAACTAGGTAACGGCAAAGAATGTGATTATGATAATGACAATGATGGTATTTAGGGCCAGGTTGTTCAATGTCTGATTAGCGTTAATCCAGGGTTATCTACATAGGTTTCATAAGAGTTAACCCAGGATTAGCGCCAATCGGGCTTTGAACAACCCAGCCCAGGGAAAGAAATTTTTATTAAAATGCTTTTGAAACTTTTTCACAGAAAAGAAAGAAATTTCACAAAATTGTATGTAACAAACAGTAAAGGACAAAGCATTTTGTACTGGTTTGTCAGCTAACTATGATGGGTAAAGGGTTCTATTTCTTTGCAATCCAAAGGTACTCCAAGTACAGTACATGTAGATCAAACTAAGGTCGATCCTGTCATCAAGATAATCTCTTCTGTCATACATTTGGCCAGTACAGAGAACAAAGCTTTAGCAAGTAACATGTCTCACTGCTTGAGCCCACAAGTCAGTAGTACAGTGGTATGGTTTTTACGGCATTTCTCTAAATCATATCTCCTACCTAATGAACATGAATATGGACAATTAAGTACAACACTAGCCTCCATTTTTGGTGAGGATACTGTTGGCGGGAAATGGACAATTGGATTTTTACTGGAAAAAGTCAAGACGAATTTGATTTACTGGTCAAGTGAACCAGCTCTTGCTGAGGACACAGTTTTACTGCTGCTGAGCCTGGTGGACAGTAAGAAAAGGTAAGATATGCATTTATGTTGACTGGAACTTACTCTTTTGTTTTTTTCTTTCTTTTCAATTCTTGTTTCTGTTAGTCTATTTTCATTTCCTTTGGTTCTGTTTTTCATATCTCCTTTTCCCTTCTTCCCCTTTTTTTCCTCTCATTTTTCTCTTCCTTTCATTTTGAATTTCTTTTCATTAATTCCATTTTTGTTTTGTCTGTCTCTAATCTTATCCGAGGTAATTTCATTTTATTATTTTCTCATTTCTCTCCCTTCCATCTCATTGTTCTCCCTTCCATTCTGTGTGGTACTGATGTGTTCATCTCTACCAATCATTTGTGTTTCAGGGCAGAGGTTGCAATATCGTTTGAATGTCTTTGGCAAATTGGAGAACAGCATGCATTGCGACATGGTCCCATATCACAAATGCCATCAGAGGCCCATAGGTATTTAGTGCAGGCACTAGTTTTAGCAGGGTCTTCTGGAGAGGGACATCCATTGCGGGAAAGATATTGGAGCCAGGTACAAATATGACAGTCATGATGATAATGGCAAGTGCAATAACAATGATAAGGATGTATGGAGAGATACCAAGCGCTGAATTATTGTGAGCTGTAATGAGTTTTGAGGACAAACTATAAACTGTAAATGGGTGGAATACGTTATGACAATTTCAGTCATTGGAGAAATACTTTGCCCAGAAACAGCTATAACTTTTCCATTTTTTTAATCATTTTATGTCTGTGACCATTTATGATTATTTATGATTATTCATGATAATGTATGATAATTCATGATAATTTATGGCAATTCATGATAATTTATGCTTTATTTTCCAGTTTCTTCAGTCACTCCATACTCGTTTCAATAATGTCTGTCATCAACCAAATTTCATCAAAATATCTCAAGATGAACACATTAAGGCTGAACTTCAGAACCTTCTAGAGTCATTCCGTGGTGTTGCCTTAGCGTCATCTGCATGGAATTCTAACCACCTGTTTCACTTTCTTCTACCAGTGCTGTGCGACAGTGTGTTGTTGATGAATGTCTACCAGGACTGCCCTGAGGTGTCTGTCTTGGTTCTGGAAATGTTTGTAGATGTTGTAGAAGCAGAGATTACTTTTTTAGATTATGTAAGTAATAGTATTGATGATATCTTAAGGAATAACAGGAAAGAAAGGACACTCGATTATTTGATATGATTTCCAGGCAGAAGCGGAGAAACTCTACAAAGCCTGTCTCTCTCTTCTTGAGACTTATGCTAAGTGCAGTTTAGGTAAGAAACATACTACCATATAATATGACATACTGTGATTCACACTACAGTAACATGTGACTTCATTGACGAAGGATTACCGTCCGAAATGTCAGGAGGTTATTTCACATCCTTTTTTTACGGTGTTAAATTTATCTTTTTACACAACTGTTCCTTGACATAGCATGATGTAATGTTGACATATCTTCAGGGAAGCACAGTTATTCATCTTTGGTGGAGGAGGAGCAGTACTCTGATCTTTACCTACTTATGAAGCTTCTTAGCCACATTCTGTCGAAAGATATTCTAGATTTTGCAGAAGGTAATCATTTTGGTTGAACAATGGTAATAAACAATGATAATGATGGTGATTATTTAAATAATGATGATGTTAGTACAACAGATAATTGGAATGGCTGATGATAGATACCTTTGTAATAAATATTTGACTAACATGCCTTGTTTGAAGCCATTGTCATACTTGAGGGTCAACCATCCTAGTAGCCTATCACGTAACACATGTGATATGGCAATTACACAGCTATTGAGGATTAGATTATAATCCTACCAGTATTATAATTAATTTTGTGGGTTTATACTTTCAATCTAATCTATCAGATTATACTATTAGTTATTGCAGATATTATCCTAATGGGATTAATAATAATTGTACTTATTACAGAGGAAGGCCATACTAGTGCTGCCGATGTTACCATATATGGACTAAATATTATTATGCCATTGATATCTACTGAAATACTCAAGGTAACGTATGTCATCTTGTTTTATATGTTGGTTTATGTTGATAGAATTAATGACATACAGAAAATATAAAATATTGAGTCAACAATTCTCCAGCAGTCGTGTGTTTAATGATTATGAATATCTGCTATAGTTCCCGTCGATATGCGAGGAATACTTCAAGCTAACTACCTATGTCTGTGATGTCTATCCTGAAAAAACCATGACGTTACCTGATGGCTTATTCCAGAATATGATGTCAACACTAGAAGTCGGCTTGGACAAGTATCCTTCTGAATCGCTGACTTTGACAGTCATTATCATCATTATTGTCATCATCATTATTGTCATCATCATCATTATTGTCATCATCATCATTTTTGACATCATCATCATTATTGTCATCATCATCATTATTGGCATCATCATTATTATTGTCATCATCATCATTATTGTCATCATCATTATTGTCATTATCATTACTGTCATCATCATCATTATTGTCATCATCATCATTATTGTCATCATTGAGAACACCAACTGTCATTTGTATGGAATATTGATGAAGTCTCAAAGTCTACAATTGTAGTCCTTAACTCATTCCAGCTATGATGCTGAGATTGCAAAGATGTCGATGGAGAGCTTGAGTGCTCTTGCTTCTCACTTGTTTCAGAACAAACAACAAGCACAGGAACACAGAGTAGTGGAGGTGGTTCGACATTTCTTGAGGGTCTGTAGTCTATCCATTGCTTACTACTGTATTGGTAAAAATGTATAGATGATTGGTTGATTCATTAACTGACAGTTTGATTGGTTGAATGGTTGAGTAATTGACAGATTCGCTTATTAATTATTTACCATTTGGTTGATTGATTGATTGGTTGATTGACTGACAGATTGATTGAATGATTGATTGCTCAAATGATTGATTGATTGATGATTGATTGAATGATTGACTGATTGAATGATTGATTGCTCGAATGTTTGATTGATTGACTGACTGACTAAGAGATTGATCTATTGAATGGTTAATTTATTGACAGATTTGCTTATTGAGTGGTTTATTGAATGGCTAATAGTATTTTATATTTGTTTAGGTTATTTTCAATATGTTACTCATCGAATCGTTTGACATGGATCTACTACAACCAGCATCAGAAGCATTCTTGGCTTTAATTTGCTGCAACCAAGTAAGTCATGATAATTAGGGGTAAATCCGGGGGGTGGTTGTTCTTTAGAGGTGCCAGACACCCCCTGACTCAGTGCCCAGTGAACCATGTCCCTGTAAAACAATATCTCCTAATTATTTAAGTAATTAGACACTGTGTACCATTTTTTATTATTAACGAAACAGATCACCTCCCTAGTCTACCATGTTGTCTTTGTTGTTAATTTGTTTGTTATCCTTTGCCATCAGGAATATTACAGTGAACTGGTTCGTGACCTTCTTGCCCAACAGACAGATCCTGTAGTAACACAACGCCTACTGGCTGCATTCAACACACTTACACCAAATGACATGCGCGTCTCCTTGGACAAAACCAGTAAAACACGCTTTCGAAGAAGTCTTGATTCATTTCTTACCAACGTCAAAGGCTTTTTGTTTACTAAATGATGGGTTGCCAAGACAAACAATTAAACCATAGCAACCGTAGTCCCTAGCAACATCAGTTGGCGTCATCAAGTACTGCTTGAAAGAACTTGTAAACATAAAGAATGGCAAGAATAATAATAATGATAGAACCCTTATAGACTATTAACAAACAGTACAACGACATTAAGGGAAGCAGAAATCATACCAAAGAAAACACCCAACAACAATGATGTAATCCATCACTACTTTCTACATTATTTTATTCAAAGAAAAATTATCATCCTAGAACTATTTTAGCAATAAACATACAGACAATATAGTTATGTCATTCATAAGATATGAAGAAATCAGAAAAATAACAATATTATGGAATATCCATGGAAAATACCTCATCAACACCACTCAAACAAAATCGATTTGAAACCCAAAGACATGCACTATAGTCCACAAAAATCAAAAATGACGTACTTTTCATCGAAACAATCACGAAGATCACTTCTGGCCATGCAATTTGATCAAAAATATGCCATTTTTAACGATTTTAGTGGGCCATAACTCATGAATTTTGGTCAAAAATTTGTCATTTTGAGCGATTTTGGTGCGCTATAGCTAAGGCATTATGATCAAAAATGGGTCATATTGAAGGTAAGTACTCATGGATATGGTCAAAAATGGGTCATTTTAAGCGATTTTTSTGGGCTATAGCCCATGCCTTTTGATCAAAAAAGAGTCCTTTTGAGCGATTTTGGTGGGCTATAGCCCATGCTCTTTGATCAAAAAAGGGTCGTTTTGAGCGATTTTGGTGGGCTATAGCCCATGCTTTTTGATCAAAAATGGGTCAGTTAGAAGGTAACATACTCATGGATATGGTCAAAAATAGGTCATTTTCAGCGATTTTGGTGGGCTATAGCCCATTCATTTTGATCAAAAATGGGTCATTTTCATCTATTTTGGTGGGCTATAAGCCATGCTTTTTGATCAAAAATCGGTCATTTTGAAGGTAATATACTCATGGATATGGTCAAAAATCGGTCATTTTGAAGGTAATATACTCATGGATATGGTCAAAAATGGGTCATTTTCAGCGATTTTGGTGGGCTATAGCCCATGCATTTTGGTCAAAAATGGGTCGTTTTGAGCGATATTTGGTGGCCTATAGCCCATGCATTTTGATCAAAAATCGGTCATTTTGAAGGTAACATACTCATGGATATGGTCAAAAATGGGTCRTTTTSAGCGAKTTTKGTGGGCTATAKCYCATGCTTTTTGATCAAAAAAGGGTCGTTTTGAGCGATTTTGGTGTGTTATAGCCCATGCTTTTTGATCAAAAATGGGTCAGTTTGATGGTAACATACTCATGGATATGGTCAAAAATAGGTCATTTTGAGCGATTTTGGTGGGCTATAGGCCATGCATTTTGATCAAAAATCGGTCATTTTGAATGTAACATACTCATGGACATAGTCAAAAATGGGTCATTTTGAGCGATTTTGGTGGGCTATAGCCCATGCTTTTTGATCAAAAAAGCGTCGTTTTGAGCGATTTTGGTGGGCTATAG